TGTTTTCCATTTTTGTTTTATTAGCGGCCTCGTATCTCCCAGTCTCAGTCTTCTTCGAGCCTCCCCCCCTCCCCTTCTTTCACTTTGAGAGCAAGGAATCGTGCGTGGAATTAATGAGGCCCTTCCGTGAATGTCTCTGAAAACTATTCCCCCCCTTTAAAGTGGTCTGCGGAATGCGCAAATTAAAACGAGCATGAAATAATCATAAATTGCGCATTGGCGCATTAAAATTTCCATCGCTTAAAGTCAAGTTTCCATTTGAAAGGACGCCCACAGAGCCAGACACAAGCCGCGGGGGGCAGGGTGGGCAGGGGAGCTGGAACTGAAGCTAAAGCTGGGTAATGACGGAGTATCCCAGACAGACGCACGGTGGACGCTTACGCCTCCATTCAAAGTGCGAGGTGGGACGGAAGGAAGCTGGTCGGGGCCTGAACGGAAATGGCTGCGTATATCCGGAATGGGGCCATCCCCCCTCCCCTTGGTTGGCAATAGTTTTGCGGTGCTTTGAATGCAGTTGCATTTTGTGTTTTACGATATGAATGGATTGTGTATGGGGTGTTCCCGTCTGCAATTTCAACTGGATTTAACCAGGGTTGATTCCACAACACAGCTATCGATGGCAATCACGCATATATCGATATGCATATCGGTGTTTTTGTATCATCCCCAATAAGACCTGCGATCGACCTGCAAAAAGTGTTAATTTTGTGTAATTTTGTGTCCCGAATGTGGGAAAACCCCTTTCGTGGCCCACCACCTGCCTGTGCCAGCGGCCATCCCATCTCTTTATCAGCATTCAGCAACCAGCCAGCATCGTCCTCGCCGGTCGAACAAAACCAGAAAACCGCGGCGAGCTTTTCATTTCAATTTGCTGCCAAAAATGCCCACAGATGTGGCAGTGGAGGAGGCGGAGGAGGGGCCATGCAGCCGTTTGGTCGCTCGTTGGCCAATTTAGTTTTAACGTTGCAGCTGCGGCTGGTGCTGGGGCTGGGTCTGGTGCTCCTTCTGTTATCATTCAATTGGCGCCGCCCTCTGCTGCAATTTTGAATGCCAAGTGCAGGCAGTGGAGGTGGGAGCGTGAGGCGGCGGCACGTGATCCTGGCCGATAGGGATTGAGGGACCACGGAGCGCTGGGAGGTATCGGTAAGATAATTATATAGGTTGTCGTGTGATGGATACTGAAAGTTTGTTTCCAGGCCCTGCCATCCCTCTGGGAGTATGATTCTCCGCCTGTGGTAATGATGATCCCATAATTTCCACTTATTCGCAGCTTTACAGTGTTTACAGGGTACAGTTTTTATACCCGTGAATGCCTGTAACACCCAGAAGGAGGCGTTTCCGACCCCTCAAAGTATATATTTCTGATCCACATCAATGGCCGAGTGGACCATGTCTAGCAGGTGGCTAAAAGCAGACCTGAAGCAGATGGAATCCAATATTGTAGCCAGACGGAACCGTCCAAGCGTTGTATCTCACTCTTCCCCATGCAGTGTGCGCCCTCTGGCGGAAGAGAGCGAAAAAAAGACTTTGGTGTGTTGTTAGTGTTGGTGTAAAAAGAGAAAGAAAGGGAATGAAGTCTCATTGGAATGATGCGAAAGCTTTGATCCATTACTAAAATCCACAACTGATTTCTAAATCTATCTCTTTCAGATCTCTTCAAAATCTGATCGCTAAGGATAGTTGGAAATACCCAAAACTGATGCTGAAATCAATCTGGTCCGGAAGGAAGGAAGGAAGAAATTCCCTAAGGAAAACAAACGCAAAGGCTTATAGGAAGGATACTCCACATCTTTCTGTGAGACTTCCCTGTAATTGGTAACCATAAAAAGCCCTTTCCATACCCCTTACTGACATTCATCTCTTCCAGCTGCCATCTCTATGCCCTTCGAGTGCATTCGAGTTCCGGATTCCGTCATGGGTTTAATTGGGCGAGTGCAATCCTCCCCACTTTCGAGACAGCCACTTGGCTTGGCCTTTGGGCTCCCCCTCACCAAATTAGCTTGACTAACCCCTGGACAAGCAGATGTTGACTCCCTCCCCCTCCCCTGGGACATATTGTCACCTCAAACACAGCAGACGAGGGCGACGGCGACGGCGATGGCTGTTGACAACGACAACAGCCCGTTGGGCATTCGTTCCGTTCCGTTCCGTTCTGTCCGGGCGTCAAGTGCATGACTATCTGATTGCATTCTGTGTGAATAGTGGATGGAAAAGCGTTTAAAAACATTAAACTGCGTCCGGTTACGTGCCTGGAATTTCGAGCTTCAACAGAAAGGACCGAAGGAGGGGTATCGTATCAGCTGAATGGCCTAATCCTAACAAAGGAGGAGGAGGAGGAGGGGTGTACGTATACCGCTCCACATGCATACCAAATTGGTTTAATTCAATAACATTTTCAAACAAACTTGTTTCAGAGGCCACAGCGCTTATGAGTCAGCGTTTTAAATTGCTTTCGTTGGAGCCCTGCTCCACGCCGCGAGCCCTTTTCAGTTATGTTGCTCAAAAGTCTGGAAAGTAATTCTATTAAAAACAACAAAAATAATGCAAGAAAATAACTGCTTTCCCGACTAAAAGAACTAACTACATCAGCGGCCACGACGATGGGGGGCAGGGAGGAGAGGAGGGGCCCGGAACGTGAGCTCGATAACATTTTAGCTGGATAAACAAATTTCTTTGGCGAGTGAGCAAGAGCAAAGCAAATATGAAATTCCATTAATTTGATGGATGCTTCAGGCAGAACCAAGAACCGGCAACCGGCAACCGGTATGGAAATATGTGATAGGACTTCGGCTTCGAGTACAACATGCACCACGGGACGTATGATTAATGCAATGCCTGCCGCACTGACTGGCCGTCAAGTCAGTGTCGAGAGGACAACAATGAATTAGTTAATGAAGTGCACACTACCAGGCAACCAACAGCAGTCCCAGTGCAATGTATTTAATGTATATGTATATACCCAGTAACTATAGTTTTTATGGTCTTTCTTCAGGCTGTCAAGATTTCTGTGCCTCTTGATGGATGGTGGCTGCAGCCACAACAGGTGTCTGCCTCTGCTATCATTGCCGCACACAGGATACAGCCATCAAGGATACAGGTTTGATAGGTTTTCCTACAACCCGGAGGTCATCATAGAGGCTACCATTAGGCACTAATGACATTAATGTGATGGCTGTATCTTACGAATGGACGTATGGAGCGCTTTGCTCAAGAGACAACTATCCAAAAAGACAGGTAAGTACATCGGAGATCTATTCATATACTTAATCAGCCTATATTTATTTCAGGGCGTGATAATTGGAAGCCAACATAAGGAAAGGAACGAAGAACTTTTAGGCATCACCTCACCTTGTCCCTTCCTTCTAAAACGGAGAGTACAGTCCATCGATTTGTCTGAGAAAACACCCGAAAGTAGAGCTGAAGCCGCATAGGGAACACCGGAAATGATCTCCCATCAAACGTGTCCAGTTTAAAGACATCGAACTATCACTCAGGAAAGGATATGTGACGCCGCAACGGGCAGAGCACCGGGAAATGGAGGCTTAAAAGGAGGCTTCTCGTATTCCAACACATAGAAGACGCCCCTTTAAGTCCAAAAATCTTTCAAATTTAAATCTTTAAACAATTAATTCCACACAAAACTCGTTACGCATTCCATAATGTCCATGAAATTCCATAATCCATTCAGCCGTTGGCCCCCACCATTGCATCTGGCGGATAAAAACTTACTTCGCGACGTCTGGAACTATGTGGAAGGCCTTGCCACCCCGCTCCTCCCTCCTCCTCCTGCTCCAAGTGGCAAAAAGTGTCTGCAACATAATCTCTCTGTTTGGGCAGGGGGCAAAAGCGATTTCCAAGTCATTGGGCAAGCCCAACTATGCCATATAATCGCATGATATATGCCTAATCTCTGCTGGAAACTTCTCTCTGCAAGTGGCAGAAGGGCAATGTGCAGGTCCGCGCTGGAGGAGAGTCAATTTCAGCGATTAAATTAAGAATGCATAACTTGCAGGCTTAACAGGGCTTCGAGGAGCGGCGGGCGAATGTGGAGGAGGAGCAGAAGGACTCCTGCAGCCAGAGCACGAACGGGGGCTCTGATTTTTATTTGCCATTCTCTTGGCCTCAGTTTCTCTTTCGTGGGCGGGGAGGAAGCTCAGGCCACTTATCTACGTTCTTTTTTTTCCAATTTGCGATTTGTTTGCTGCTCTTCACTCAACCCAATACCAGGCCAACTGGGGAGATCCGTGTCGGAGGGCTTCCTGTTTCTGTTTCCTTGTTTGTTTGGTCTTCTCGGGATACATTGCTTTCTTGAATACCCTGCAGCGGATACCTTGCCTCAGATTCGAGCTGATATGCTGAAACCCACAAGATCGATTCACTATGTCATATATATGTCTGTCTTCGAAATAAAGAAACGTGGGCAGCTCTGCTTTAAGGGATTATAAAGAGCAACAGCAGATTTCCGCTTGGTGGAGCCGCTCGCTGCTATCATTCCTTGTCACCACTCGCTGTTATCACTCGCTATTACCACTCGCTGTTACGACTCTCTGAGAGTGCTGAAAGATCTCTATCCACCCGACTCGCCACTCCGCTCTCATAGAGTTTATCAAGTCAGCTTGAAATACTGAAGCACTTACTCGTCGCTGAAGCACTCCTCTATCCACCCTCCCACAAGCAAGGGTATCAAACTCTCCGGTCCATCGAGCTAGCCTTCCATTCTGGTTCTTCGTGCTGCCTCTGCTGCTTGGACATGGTACGTGCCTGGTCGGGCCTTTTATAAACATCTTGTACCATAACTGGTCCGGCGCCCTGTATTTGTTTTTAATACAATTCCCGTTTGTTGGTGTTAGTGGGTAGAGTAGGGGAGAGGTCAAGGTGGTAAGATCTGCATCATTGTCAGACTAGTACCTTTACTAAGGTGGAAAGATGATAGAACCCCGCATCAACCATCAAATCTATTCGTCATAGATCCATTTTCAAACAGCGATACGATACCAAAAGACAGAGAGCATCCTTTTATTACATGTGGATTTCAGTTTTCCACTTAAAAAATTAGTATTAAATATGCTTTGTTTTTAATGACTTTCTATTAGACTTCGGATTCGTGATGAACGGTGGGTAAACATATAGACTCTTCTTAAAGGCCGGAATGTCCACTATGTGTGTGGGATTATCACCATTTCCGAAGAGCTCTATCTCGATATAGATGCCCGTCTGTTCGAACCAGAGCTGTTCATCGGAAATTTTGCGCTGCACTTCTTCCAAAAAGTTTGACAATGAGCCGAGATCTGCGTTAGAGGCCGAGATGGTAGCCCATTTCTACCAATCACTGGAACCGAAAGCTTCCGAAAGTAATTGTTTTTGTAGTCCAATAATAAATCCAAAACGTCCTGCCGTGCGAGACTTTTCACCTTTCGTGTGTACTTGCTTTTCCTTGCGATCAAAGAACTACTCAGTAGCAACGATCTCACTCCAGTTCCGTATTACTTCTTTGTCTAGGCTGGGTTCGCCCAGTCTCTTGCCACTGATGAGGGATTCGCTCATATCTTCGAACTCCGTTTCGCAGAGCTGAGTCCCAAGGCCCGGTACATCGGTCCACATGATCAGCGTATCATCCAGCGAGGATGGATTATCTAATTTGTGGCTTTTGTAAGTGGAAAGGACTTGATGTATTGCTTCAATCGCATTGCTTACCTGCTAAAGCTCCGATTGAACTGCAGAACGCTCCCGGGCCATGGCATCGGGAAGCATGAGCGGTGCTCTCAGAAATTCAGAAATATACCCATGTTCACAAGCACAGCACAGGCATATAAGTTGTTCTAAAATGTAAATACTTGTAAATTTCGATTCAAACTAAGAAAACGAACAAATTTTGTATAGACGCCTAGACTTTCAGAGATGCCTCTTTCGTTTGAACTGAAAGGTCCCTGAAAGGGATCAAAGCTGTTTTTACGGATTTGACGAGGCTTGCTATTGGATATGGATGTTGATGTACATATACAAAGAATTTAAAGGGGAACTTACTGACTTAAAATACTCCACATAACAGCATAAGGAGCCTTTGAAGGAGCCTAACCTGTCCAGCAGAGACAGCCAGCGAGAGGTCGCTTGGGAAAACAGCGAGTAGCGAGTAGAGTGAAGCGAGTAGAGCTCGCAGTGAAGCTTTTGCGGCAATCCTATAAAGAAAACTTTGCTAAAATGGACACCTGCGGTGACGCTCATGATTATAATGGTCCACTCGACTCCATTGGGGGGCGGAAGGAAACCAATGCTCGACCACAGGACGCAGAAGGTGCCGAAGAGTCAGTGGAGGAAATGAGGATGGAATTGGAAAGTCTGCGAGTGGCGCAACCTCCTGATCAAAGCTGTTGTCAACAGAAGGTGGGTGCTATATCAGCTTGTAAGCTCCGGAAGACCAGAAAGAACGTTTCATTTACAGCTAGTGATATCGGAAATGACATTGGGACCTGCTGAGGTTTTGGAAGTACCAGGAATTTTGCCTCCCACTAAGAGGCCGACTGATCAGGAGAGTGGAAGAAAATGATAATGATATCGATGGATTCTTTTTCGAACAGCGATACGATACCAAAAGACAGAGAGCATCCTTTTATTACATGTAGATTGTGGTTTTGTGGTTAACAAATCAGTATCTAGTACGCTGTGTTTTCTATGACTTTCTATTAGTCTTCGGATTCGTGATGAACGGTGGGTAAACATGTAGATTCTTTTTGAAGGCCGGAATGTCCACGATGTGTGTGGCATCATCGCCATTTCCGATGAGCTCTATCTTAATATTGCTGCCTGTCTGCTCGTACAAGAGCTGTTCATCGGAAATGTTGCGCTGAACTTCTTCCAATAAACTTGCCAATGAGCCGCTTTGTGCATTTCCTGGTTCCGAAACCAGCCTACCAGCCACAGCTTCCGAGATGGGCTGCGTTAAGGGCCGAGACGGTGGCCTGTTTCGACCAATCACTTGAACCGAAAGCTTGCGAAAGTTATTGCTTTCGAAGTCCAATAATAAGTCCAAGACGTCGCGCTTTGTGAGACCATTAAGCGTTTTTATTTGCTTTTCCTTGCGATCAAAGAAGTATTCAGACGTTACGATCTCACTCCAGTTCCGCATTACCTCCTCGTCCAGGCTGGGTTCGCCCAGCCTCTTGCCACTGATGAGGGTCTCGCGCACATCATCGAACTCCGTGTCGCTGAGCTGATCCACAAGCTCCGGTACGCGAGACCTGAACGCCTCGATACGTCGGTCCACGTGGTCGGCCGAGTGCTTGGTCTCCTGAGTGTTGACTGTGATGACACAGGCCAGTACGCCGTAGCCGATGCGCTGATTGAGGCTCAGGCTGTAGCCCAACTGTTCTTGGGTGCGCAGCTGGTTGAAGAAGGGCTCTTCCACAACCAGCTCCACCAGGTCCATCAGGCACTCCAACTTGAGATCGCTTGGTCCAATTTGATAGTAGTTCGTTACAATCGTGTTCGTGTCCCTGTGGTTTAGGGCTTTCGCCCGCAAGTAATGCGATCCGAGGGGTATCTGCACTAGGCTGTCGTCCAGCGAGGATGGATTATCTAACTTTTGGCTTTCGTAAGTGGAAAGGACTTGTTGCATTGCTGCACGCGCTTGTTCATCGGTAAAGTTTCCTTGTATGAGTCCTTGGACGTACATTTTCTTGTGGAAATTCTCCTTGAAGTGCTGGATATCGTCCACGGTTATGTGATCGATTGATTCGTATTTCTCCAGCATACTAAATCGTTTGTTCTCCAAAACCATTAAACGCAAGTCGAGATTCAAAATCTTTCCAGAAAAGAGAGCACTGAAAATTTGACGTTTCTTGAGGTCTTTAAAGGAAATCACTTGGGCTGGATCCAACTCCAGAGTGGACATCACCTTCATGATTATTTCCAGCAAAAGAGGCAGTTTCTGGCTGTAACCACTAACACGCAGGACCAGTCCCTTGTCACCGATATAGAGGCCATAGGATAGACCGGCCTCTAAAGCTGGATACAATTGCTCGGCGATGCTGAATTCCACCAAGTAGGTAAAGAGGACGCCCACCATATAATTCTTTGCACTTTCCCGAATCAAAGGAGTGATGAAGTATACATTTATAAAGCCATCGGGCAGTTGGAAGATATCGTCTTGTCGGAACCACAACTCGCAGTAATCGTCCCTTATGAGGGCCCTGGGATGACGCGGTATGTGTGGCCTGCCAGCCTCCTGCCAGTGCAACGTGAAGTCCGTGGTTATGAAGGGATTCGATTGTGGAAAGGTCAGTTCGTTCAGTGGTGCCGGATCATACCACATGGCCTTCCATTTGGAGGGCATAGAAATCGTCGTGTACTGCGTGCCAAACCATTTCTCCCTCTGATCGTATTTATGATCCATATATGGTATGTGCGAGGAGATCATTATATTGAAATGAAACTCACTTAGGTTCTTTTTAAGGAGCAGCATGGCAGCCGGATCAAATTCAAAATACAGATTTGGTCCCGTAAGGACATCTTTTGGTGGCAGATAACTAATGCCCTCCACCACACGCTGTACGTTGTCCATCGAGGGTAGCTCGATCTCGAATCGAAAGTTATTGGCTGCAATCTGCTGAAACTCCTTGTACGAATCCTCTCGATGATGGGCGCTCTCATTCAGCAGCTTAATCCAGGCAAAGGTCGCCTCCAATACCTCGTCTATGTGCTCGAACCCATCGTCCGTAAGGTAGATGCAGATGTTGAACAGAGAGTAAATGGAGTTCGATTCGAAGCTGCTTCCTCCAGTGCCCGCCATAACGCTCATGCACCAGAGACGGCGACGCAAGTAGGAGCACAGGCTGCCCACGCCCTCGTAGCCGATCAGTTGCGAGAGAAAGGCATCCGGCTTGCATCGATACTGATGCCGCATCGGTGGCAGAACCCACGTCAACTCCAGCTTGCACACGTCCTCCACGGGCTGCACAAGAATGACATCGCTAAATAACGTTTCATTAAAGGCTTTCTGATAGCTCAAACTGTTCATGTCTGAGGCATTCTCCTGGCTATTGGGTATATCTGCACAGTGACGGACTAGTAGTGCCTCCAGTTCGTCCAACGATTGCTGCGACTGAATGCAGACAATCATACGATTGGATCCGTAATGCTTTCGTCGAAATTCGTGAAGTGCCTCTTGCAGCAGTCTGTCATCTACCTGGTCTTGAAGAGATGCCAGATTTCCCCAGCTGAAAGTGCCATGGGGATAATCATCGCTGGCCAAGCTCGCCAATATCTGGTCACGGCGCACCTCGTCCCGCATATACACCTGCTCGAACTCCGATTGGACTGCAGAACGCTCCCGGGCCATGGCATCGGGCAGCAGGAGCGGTGCTCTTATCAGGTTCATAAATATATCCATACCCTTGTCCAGATGGGCCTCTTCCACCTCAAAGTAAAAGCACGTCTCCTCGTTCTCTGTGTGCGCGTTGGTGAAGCCGCCGTTTTTTGTTATAAACGCATCAAATTCGTTTTCAATGGGATACTTCTCGGAGCCCATGAATATCATATGCTCCAGAAAATGTGCCATTCCCTGATATTGGCGCGGCTCGCTGAACGATCCCACGCTCACAAGCACCGCACAGGCAGCTAGTTTTCCATTGAAGTGCTCCATCGACGGATTGGACCACTCACTACCACTGTCCCCCACTGTGGGTAGATGATGGCGCACATCCTGTGTGTGTTCCATATTATTCGTAGGATCTGATATCAGCATGGCGCGCAATCCATTCGATAGACTTAGGGCCCGGTAGAGTTTCTTGTCGCCGTCGGATTTATCCGGTGGCTCGTGATACTGTACAGTGGTCTGAAATGTTCGATTTACCCACTTGTACACTTTATTCGTGATTATTCTGAGGCTGTGCCGTGGCTCGAAGCACATCTTCAATACCATATGTTCTATTAGTTTTTTCTAAAATTCTCAAATACTCGTAAATTTCGATTAAAACAACAAAACGAACAAATTTTGTATAGACTCCTAGAATTTCAGGGATGTCTCTTTCTTTTGGTTACCAAATCTCTAGTAATTCTGAAACGCTCTCAATGTTAAGGTTGCTTGTTATTCGATGTGTATGTTGCCGTATACTAAGAATTTAAAGGGGAACATACTGACTTTACCCTGTGAAAGAGCCTACCCTGTCCGGCAGTCAGCCAGCGAGAGATCGCTAGTGAAAACAGCGAGTATCGAGCAGCGAGTAGAGCTCGCAGCGAAGCTTTTGCGGCTAGGAACGCATGGCTATAGATAGTCCACGAAGAGTTGATGTCATTTCTCTGAAGGAGACAAAAAGATCAGCATTTATCACAGCTAAACTTATAAAAGACAAGGAAGGAACACAACTTCTCGTCTTCCTCGCCAACTCGTGTCCAGCAAATCAACGCCATTGCAGAGTCCTTCCTCAAAAAGACAAGCGGTTACCCACCTCAGAATTCTACTAAGTATTATATAATCTATTGGGATCTTAGTGTATTAATTAATAATGTGGAAATGCGTTCATATTTGCCGATTAAGTTTATGTATACTACGAGTATCAGTTTCCTTGAGGTGTTTTTATGGACATTACTCATGGAGACTTGAGTTCACTTAAACGGAAAATTTCGTTTTCCACAAAGAACGAGTTTCCAACGGCCTTGAGTACAAAGACCTGCGAGAAGGCAAACGGGGGACCGTCATCGATCTGCAAAATGTAGGAACAAACAAATTACAATTACAAATTCCGCACATCAATTGTGTTTCTAATTTCAATTAATATATCCTCTACTACAAACACTTTCATTCAATTTCTTGGCTACCACAGTAGTTCTATTGAATGTTCTTATAGTAGACGAAGGCAAACAAGGTATGGACAGACGCAGGCAGCGAGAGAGAGAGTAAGGCTCGACCTCGGCTTCAGCTGAATCTTAATTTAAATATACGATTTAAGTGTATTTCGGGCACTTCTTTCGATCGCCCCTGACGCTTACCTTGAGACGTCCCATGACACAGATTAGAACTCCTCCATCGATGGTGGGCTGCGCGTCCACAACGGTTATAATGTGGTGAATCTTTTTAAAACTCAGATTCTGTGGGAACTGGTTCATGAGCAAAATTCTTAAAGATGATAATGCGCTTACCTGAATTGTCTCTAATATCTGTGAAGCTCCCTCAAGTCGAAGGCCCTCGACGGTCATTAGGGATTCTTTGGCCTGGAAGGAGAATTCTCCAATGAAAAATAATACTTCAGAACACATAAAACATATGCATACATATGTATACATATACATACAAAACATGTGTATACATATCTGTCGGTGCGCTTGCATTGAGTGATTTTCTCATCAAGGTCGCAGAGCACGGCGTCTGCGAGACAAGAGAGGAGCTGCTGCAGCAGACGGCAACTGGTCTGCAAAGTTTCACCTCAAAAAAGGGCCAACATATGCAGTAAAACTCACTTTGTAGAAATGGGCCACACGAGTTCGGTTCTCCGGGTTGTCTAACAGGGTATAGTACTCCTGGACAAAGCTATTGGCAATATTTTCGTACTGCAAATTCAATGACATCGTGTTCAGTTTAGTTTCGGAGCAACACAAAATATTTAATCAACACTGCTGACTAATTGAAAAGTCTTCGGACTGAAAAGAACACAAGAATGAACACAGCGGTGACGCTTGCTTTATGTTAACATATTATGTTATGCCCCTATGGGGCAATATCGATAGGCCACGAAAATACAGCTCTGCCTATTCGGAATGAAAAACAGGGCAAGACTTCCACTAGACTTCAAAAACCACGCTCTTGTCTGAAAGAAAAAACAGACAGAATCCAAACTGGAGAGTCTCAGCGAGGCCGAGAGAGCAAAAAGTCTTCGGCCACCTCCGGTGATTCTGAGGGATCTGGAGTCTCTGAGTATCAGCTATAATAATAATAATTATAATATAATTAACTATAACTATTAAATTGCCAAAACACAAGCATTTGTTTTTGCTTTTTAGTGATACCCGCTATATATGTACGTCAGCAAAAAAAATCTCTGCTTGTATACATTTTGCGCCCAGAGGCCAGCAGATGTCGCAGTCTTTATTGCTGTCTTTTAAGTGTTAACAAAGTGCCAACTTTGTCCAGTGCTTTAAAGGTATTAAGAGCAGTAGCAGTGAGCGCACTAAACCCCATTCATTAACTTGCCTTTCCATAAAGAGAGGGCACTCCATAAAGAGGGAGTCAACAAATTCGAAGGGTCATGTTTACGGAATTTGTGTATAAAATGCATAAAATCTATATGAATTATAATTATAAAAATATTACATCTTGATCTTGAATATTGATCGTTTGTGTTCCAGCTATTAGATATACAAACATTTATACTGAAGCCCTGCATGACTCCACAGAATTTCCTCTTTATTGCTGTCGATCATTACGAATTCTGCCTTCATGAAGCCAGAAAATCAAGAAGAAAGTGAGCGAGAAAGAAAAACCGAAATTTTCGGCTCTGACACAGTATAAATTACGATAACTGCTTTGTTCAGCTCAGCTATACTCATGTATCATAGCATATGCTCTCCTATACAACGGCGAAACTATTCAGCATGAAAATAGTTAGATAGACAGACAGATAGATGTGTGCACATAGCAGGGGTTTCTTTACTGGAATGCAAACATCTTGTCAAAGTCGATGTATAGGCAGCAATTGCTTGCTTAAACTGTATTTTAATAAACAATATTGCTTTTTCCAAGATAATTAAAGTACTATTTTTTAAAAGACACATTCTATGCCAAAAACTGTTGGTTACAAGGGGGGACGAGGCGGCACATCCATGTTCGTACCGAGACTCTGTTTTGGGGTATAGAAACCACATGACACACTCGACCTGTCAACACATTACCGACCAACCAACCAACCGACCAACCGACCGGCCGCCTTGCTTTGCCGTCAAGACTTCACACTCGGGCTCCCCCCGCTTTGGGTGGGTGGGTGGCTGTGACCACACTCGAAGGATTCGCATCTGACAGGCGGCCATATATCGTATATTATGCATGCAGTGCAAGGCAATGGCCAGAATAATATTCAAAGCATTTAGCAACTCATTGTCCCCTTCAACCAGCCACAGCCACAGCCACAGCTCCCAGCTCCCAGCTGGAGGCCCAACAACAGCAACGAGCGCACAAGACGATGACGGCAACGAAAAATGTATTCATGGCCCCCAAATTGTATAATTTAAGTTTGCACATAAAATCACACCGCAAACTTGGGCCGCAAAGGCCTAAAAAGGAGTGGCAACAACCCTCAAGTGAACTGACATGGATATGGGGTGTACAATATATACATATATATATAGACCTGCATATGTGGGTGTTTATGGGAATGTGTTGCGAGTAGCTTGGGTCTGAAATGATCCCTCCTTACGAAACGAATGCAGAAAGTTGGTCGAAGCTAAGAGCTACAAGTAGGCCCCTCCCTACCATATCTGGAGCTGTTAAATGTGCATGCTGGCTTATCAGCACTCTTGATGTCCCCTGCACAATCTCTTCTTCCCATCGCCATAGATCTGACGGGCCGTTATGCACTCAAACTTTTTGTTTAAAAAGTTCAACTTAACAATTTTCAGGCCCTGACTGAATCTCAGACTATAGCCGTTTTGCGCAGTACTTTCCATTACTTCAAGACGGCCGCCTCTACTATTACACAGTTGAGCACACAACGAAACCGAATTGCTGGGTCTCCCCACAACCCCCCTCACACACACACACACACATAAAATTTAAATATTTTAAAGAGGAAACCGGACGCAGGACACCCCTTCCCGTGCCAGGCACAAAGTACAAAACTTGTGTGCCATAAAAATGCTGTAAAATTGCACAAATAGTAGATACAGAATACGAGTCTACCCGTAGCCGAAAGCCGTATCCGTACGTTCTCACTTCCTCGATGCGTACAAGTACGAGTACGAGTATCTGCTGACCTCAGTGCGTGTGCACATGAACTTTAACGAGTGTGAATGGGCTTAAGTGTGAGTGCTGTGGTGTGTCCTGCTGCAGGTCCTTTTTTTTGCGTGATGTGCAAGTCATTGTCATCGGTATCATATCGTTGTCGTTGCCGGGAGACTCATTTGTTGGGGATATCTGGGGGCTGCCTTTTGTAGCCCTTTTTTCACAACAGAAAAGAAACTTGATTTCATTTTAATTTTTCCCTTCTCTCCTTTGGCTCCTTGGGCGTGACAATCTCAACACCGAACACACACACACATCCAGTAAGTTACGTTGCTCTGAGGCTTTACGCACGGTCCATTTCTAGGCGACAAATTGCTCTTCAGGCCTTAACCGAAAAAGGGTTGACCAAGCTCTAAGAATTCTAAGGATTTTAGCCAGAGAGAAGGAAAGGTTACGGGGTCTAATGTCCTCCTGTGGTCGACGGGGGAGACATTTTGTGGGTTGTCCTAATTAGAATGCCAAAAACTCAAGCACAAACGCCTCATAAATAATGTATATGCCATGAAAATGAATGTGAAATTTAAATAATAAAATTCTGTGGGTAGAAAACCACACACACACACACACACAATCATCAATCGACATTGTAGTCCCGGCTCGGGGCTAACATTCGGGCATTGCCGCCCGTTTAATCGAATTCCAACCCAACTATTTCGGCAGGGGGCACCCTCAAGAAAAGGGTAAATGATTTTGCATAAAATTTAAGTGAAACCATTCTCCACCTGAGATTTAACCCCGTATGCAGATGTGTGTGTGCGAAAACCTCAGGGATTATCCTTGCGGCTGGTCTTGGCTTTCATTTCGAATGCCCGTCAATCTGTCAATTTAGGACAACAATTACGATAAGATAAGTGCGTTGAGACGTTTATTAAGCCAATCAGTGGCTTATGTCGAAACTTCAATTGTCTTATGGCCTGCCTTGAATGTTTCGTTGCCTTTTTTGGAAGATGAACGAGTTTCCTTTGCATGTTTGCCAGCTGTCAATAACATGTGGAATATGCTGGTACATAATTGCTTATTGAGACATAATTGGCTTGATCGCTTGTGTGTATCGGAAGATGATATATTCTTTGGATACCTCATGTATCCTCATGCTCCACATGTGCCATCATCCCCACATCCGGCTGTGCCCAACCAGACCAAACTCTAACACAGCACCCACAAAAAGGACAACTTTAATTAAGTGAAAATTATGATGTTGCTGGAGCAGGAGAGAGAAGAGCACACGACGGGGGGTGGAGGACAAAGGTTAAGCCCACTTGGTGGTCACACGTGGCTGTGAATAATGCAAAATCTCAACTAATTAAGCCGAGTAAATGTATTAACAACAAACTTTGCCCAGGTCCAGGATTTCGCTACGAAAACTGCAATGTTCTGCAGCTACCCCGCACACACCACATCCTACAGCCAGCCACAATTTAGGTAACATATTGTTTTTTTTAATTAAATTTTTTTGAGTTCAAAATATTGTGTGCAACGTAGAGTAAGAGTAGCAGTGGCAGTGGCATCGTCTGGCATCATAGCCCTTAATTTTCGGAAAGTGAAACATGAAACAAATCCTGGTAGTCCATGTCCGGCTCGTTTAAATATGGATCCGTAATAAAAAGCAAAAAGCACAGAAATATCAAAACACCCACATATGATTCTATATGTTTAATTTGTAATTGTTTCTTCAAAAGTTTTGGAAGTAAAGTTGATTCCACTCTATGAGCACACCAGTCTTGAGGGGCATCAACAGATTATGGGGAAGCACCTCCACGAACTCTTGTCAGGATGAGATGAGGCCTTTAAATCGTTCCAATGAAACATGTAAGTCTTTCAATAAGCTGGAAAAAAAAACACACTACTTACTGTCCACTAAAAATAGGTCCATATCGGGTATAGCTGTGATCGATGTTATTTCAAGGCTTTCTCTGTGTGAATCGCGTGTAAATATTATAACCAGGACCTTGCCATGATGAGTATTGATGGGTGGGCGGAGGGCATAGGTCGCACCTGAAAATGTTACATGTGAGGGGCCTAACGATTGAATGTTGTTGGCACCGCTCAATTATTCAGGGTAGTGTCAGTGTTTATAGGTGGACCTTCTTTGCGGACCTTAAATTGCTGGAAATTCAACTTTTAATTCTTGCAATCACCAAAAGTAACTCATTTACTTACCGCCCCATTCTTCCACATCTTCATAGTCCGTATCTGGCTGGTTTAGAAATGGATCCATGTTGGGTATGGCTATGGCTTTGATATGGATCATCAGCAAAAGCAACACAAATACGTAAGCAACCACAATTGAAGTCATTATTGCACAATTTATTGTTTCCTCAATATAATTCAAAACAATTTGAGCTTAGTTTCAAACATAGTCTGATGATATATATGTATGTTTAAAAAAACGTACGAAAACAAAATCGAAGGCTCCTCTGATGTAAAGTATAAGGTACTCGGAGAGTTTTATCATTACCAACATAACCATTCTATGAACCATGAACAAATTTCTTCCGCTATCTCCTCAAAAAGATCTTCGCTTGATTCTTCTTCTTCTTCGGGCCAATCTTCAGTCCATTCTTCTGGCATCTCGGTTGTTGTCTTGCCAGGACTCTCAGATGTTTGCGGGCTTGTCTGCGCAGTCGATCCCAGACTCGTTTCTTTGGTTGTTTCTGGCTTCGATGCCATAGTTGATTGCTCACTTGATCCCATAGTTGATTGGTCACCTGGTCCCATAGTTGGTGGAACAGTTGGTGCCATAGTTGCTTGGCCACCTGATCCCGTAGTTGGTTCACCCGATCCCATCGTTGGTGGAACAGTTGGTCCCATAGTTGCTTGGCCGCCTGATCCCGTAGTTATTTCACCTGATCCCAGCGTTGGAACAGTTGGTCCCATATTTCCTTGGTCACTTGGTCCCATAGTTGCTTGGCCACCTGATCCCGTAGTTATTTCACCTGATGGCATCGATGGTAGAACAGTTGGTATCATAGTTGATTGGTCACTTGGTCCCATAGTTGCTTGGCTACCTGATCCCGTAGTTATTTCACTTGATGCCATCGTTGCAACAGTTGGTCCCATATTTCCTTGGTCACCTGATCCCGTAGTTATTTCACCTGATGGCATCGATGGTGGAACAGTTTGTCCCATATTTGCTTGGTCACCTGATCCCGTAGTTATTTCACCTGATGACATCGATGGTGAAGCACTTGGTCCATCTAAAGGTGGTTGAGTAGATGTTGCTTCTTGTCGAAGTTGCTTAAGCAACACTTTAAAAGATTCTCCAGCAAATTCATTCGACGATTCTCTAAATGATTCTTCATATTTTTCAAATAATTCTTCACTTGCATCTTCGGAATATTCGTCCCGTGCCTGTTCTTTTGCTTCTCTAGAATCCTTCTCGGATTTCTCTGCCTGTCCTTTACTTTTATATCCAGCGAATCCCGCGTCCGCACCGACTATTGGCCACTTACTTGAGGATCGAACATGATCTCGTTCAGGCCTCGCCACAGCCATGGCGAGTAGAACCAACAAAATCCCGCAATGTCTTGGAGCTCGTAACATTTTCCACCTGCTTATGGAACAACTACGGAATGGACATCCACTATATATACTCCATGCTGAAGTACACGTTGTACATAAATAACCATCTGATCTGGGTTACGTCAAAAATATAACAAACAAATTCCTTGGATAACGTTTTGTCATAAACTGAAATTGTTTCGCATGTTTGAAATTACTTTAAAGATAAGAGGTTTTTGCATAGACAAAGGGCAAAGATACGCATATGTACATCCAAGGTTTTTGGGGGTTTTCTGAGGTTTACTCGTATGAAATCCAAATGGAAACAAAACTAAGGTCAAAGCAAAGGCAAAACCTCAATCTTCCTTTATAAATTATAGCCATATTTTATTCACAGTTCCTACAAGTGTATTGCCTCCTCTGTCGTGCTATTCATCTGTTGAGTTTTCATCATCTTCTTCGGGATCTGGCTCCGTCTGCCATCGGTGGCCCATGGCATAGGGTGGCTTGGCATAAGTCTTTACGTAGAAAGTGCCATTCTTCGGTACCGATGGCTCCCCGCCCATACGGAACTCCCCGTCGCTGAGGAAGAGGATCCACGTCCCATTTGCCTGACGTTCGGCACGAGGACCCCAGAATCCAGCGGGACTGATCAGCGACTCCATAAAGTAGTCGTGGGCCCGCTTATGGGAACAGCCATAGACATAGCACTTCTTTTGGTTCTTGCCGTAGTTCGGATAGAAGGTGGCATGCCCCACTGGCTGCTCGAAGCCCAGGCTGACGCTTGTTTGAATGGACTCCACGTAGGTGGCGTCACTAGCATCGATGCGGTACTCATCCGTTTGATCGCGGAACTTCGGTCCCGCCGGATCCAACGCGTAGATCGTGTTGAACCGGAACGGCTGTATCTGCTTGCCCGCACTTCCGGCGATCTGTGCCCCGAGCGAGTGTCCAATCACATAGACGTCATCGTAGTGAAGATCGGCATTCAAGTGCAGATAGCGCACTAGATCGGCCAGCAGGAAGCCCATATCCTCTACCATATTGGCCACTCCAAAGTAGTTGACATTCGTTGAGATCTTACTCCAATCGCAGACGATCACGTTGAAGTCCTCGTACCTTGGTGGTTCTCCATTCAGTCCCGGTTGGGTCAGACTCAAATAGGCATTCTTCACTTTCCTGATGTGGGAACCCTTGCTCTGACTCATCCAGCCGTGTATGACGATTCTGAAAAGACAGTACAGTAGAAATACAATGAAAAACCTCTGTTAAAACTCTACAATATCGAACCTCTGTTTCATCAAGTTCTCTTCTCTTGCCAAAAACTTATCTTATCATTATTTTCCGTAATGCAAAATTTCTGTAGAGCATGTTAAAATTACATTCATGGCTCTAGTATATATTTACGAGCTTTTTAATTGCTAATTAAAATGTTCAAGCGCGAAAAAGCCAAATGGCAATGACTCAATAAGCGATAAGCGGGGGTAAAAAACCAAAATATACAAAACCTGTTTTTGCATTTACTCTCGCAAAAAATTCATTAAATTTAGTGATAGAAGTTATCAAATATTAATTTTGCTTTTATTATATAACAACAAGCCGAGTGTTAAATAAACTCTATGACGTTTGTTGTACCTCAGCTTTTAAACAATTATTCCACCACACGAATTTCTACAGCACTCACAAAAGGGGTATACCCTCCCATTCCCATTTCCCATTCCAATTACAAATAAAAAAGTCCCCACCCCACATCTCTGTAACGATTCAAACATTAATCTTTCGAGGAAATCCCCCGTCCCTTACCTTGTGGGATGACGTGCATCGAAGCCTGAGTTTTTCAGATTCTCCTTATTGTCGATTAACAATTCTCTTCCGCAATCGGCAAAGTCCCGCTTGAAGAGTATAAATTGCATTTTACTCCGCGAACTTCCCGCGAAGGGTATCAGATGAGTAAAGAACTTCTTCCAGAATGATGGATCCACGCCAAGGGTTTTGGTTTTGATCAGCGTATAATTGCATTGGGGAGACAGCTCCATGGATAGCTGTGTGGCCGTTGCCTCTGTGCTGGTGCTTGTAGGTGATGCTAACGAGGGTAAACACTTGCTTAGATTATTCAATAATGGAGTTATATACACATGTATGTATTTGCTATGGACTCACCCGATGCTAGAGCACTCAGTGCCACCGCACCAACGATGGTGATCAGATTCAGCTGCGAGATCATGACTGTTTGTAGATTGCCACGGGGCCTCTGAGAGCTCGTGTGCGTGCGTTGCTCTGACTCTGACTCTGATCTGATCTACCGATCTCCCCCGTACACTCCACCAATTTAGATGTTCTCCGCCGACCAGCCCGATGAGAGCTCTGACCTGCTCAATGGTGCGTGCACAACTGACAAAACGCTCTGGCTCTGGCTCTGGCTCTGAACGATCGCCGAACCGCCGCATGGCACAGGGAACTATAGAGAGAGATATAGCGTGGCGACGTCATGTCTACGTCTCTACTTCAGTCTCCCCTTCCTTCATTCTCTCTGCCTGTTTTCGTGATAATTGTTTGGGAGCATTTTCGTTATAAGTTATAGGCTAGAGGTGTTAATTGCTAATGACGACAACGACGATCATCGACAAAAGTAGGTATCTCTGTTCGTTGATATTCGATATTCGCGAAAATAGAATATAAAAAAAAGCATGGGGATGTAGAGATTAAGATCACCTTGTTAATGTTTTTGGGAAGGGAAATATAAAGGTAAGATGATATATTGATCCACTTTGGATGGAATATCATCAGTATACATTTCATTATGAAACTAAGACAACAGATCTTTTATTGAAATGAAGAAAAGGGAAACTTGAGACGGAGATACCTAGACGTCTCCCATAGTTTCACAAAAAGGTCTTTGAAAAGATTTAAGCTATAGAAAATATCACTTGTTGAGATCAGCTCTGTAAATAAATAAAATAAGTGCGTGTAACCTGAAGCCTGAAAATAAATAAATAATTAATAAATACTACTAATATTTATTAGTAATAAAAACCATTGAAAAAACGAAAGCAAATCAAAAACAGATCAGCATTATTTAAGGACACGCAATTAAGAAATATTAAAAGTATTAAAGAACCTAGTTATTGTACAAATTTGTTTGGTCCAAGAACTTTCTTGAAAAAAAACCAAATCTCAGAAATGTCTCTTTTAAGGGAGTGAGTAGAAATCTTAGCCCAGGGATTGTAACGTATTCTAATAACTCTTATTGTTAGGTTACTTAAAGACCTTCACTATCTGGTATTTATCTTGCTAACTTACGAGTCTCCAGAAGGTTATGCAGGCGGACGAGGAGGGAGATCGCTTCCGCTCCAAGGTTTACACGAATCTCATGTAGGTCCGCTTTGCTCTCAGCATATTTCCGGTTCCGTTTCCTGTAATTACGTGGCATTTAATATAAGACTACCTAAATGTATATATGTATAATTATACTTTTAAACAATGGATCTACAGCTTCAAGCATGAAAACACAAATAAAATAATACAGAAATAAACTATTACCGAATATTAGACAATTAAGTATATTAAGTATATTATTTTATAAAAGTTTCCTGTGGTTTGTAGTCACAATTCCTCATTAACAGGCTAACTCATGATTTTTTAAGCCAAATTCTTGTGAAAAATCCAGAAACAACCAACAAACAAACCCCAATTAACGGATCGCTTACCTTTATGTGCAGTCCATTTTAAAGCACTCGCCTCCAGGCCATATCCTTCTCTCCCAGAACATGTTTCACTTATTAACTAAGTTAAAAGCAAATATCAAAATGGTTCGCCTACCACCCATCCCTCCCCTCAGATAAGTTAATTACCCCATTAAGTGGACCTGCAATAAATTCAACAAAATTAAAAAAGAAACCCGAGTGAAACCCCCAAGCATTAATGAGCTTGGTTTTTCCAATCCTCGGGCAACATTTTTATGGCTGTCAGTCAGCAAATAATTACCGCATATCCCGAAATAAAAAACCACAACCACAGGGCGGGCAAAGAATCCCTACTCTATCGTTTAATTGCCTGGCCCCTAATCAGATTTGAAGCTCGTTTAATTATTCCGCCCCCCGAGTACATAATTCATTAATCCAAACTCAAATGAGGCGACAAATTTTCAGTCACTTAGCCAGAGAGAGCCCTCCTCCAGTGGGAAGTCTTGCGTTCGGCTCAACTCGTGGCATACCTGAGCAGCATTTTAATTATGCAAATTTTCGACGAGAGCCTTGTTGATTAGAAAATCCGCAAAAGGAAAAACGTCAAACCCTTGACACCAGGACCACCAGGGCTGAGGTGCATCCCAGCAGCCCTTAAGGCTTCAAATCAATCAATATGGAGAAGGAGGCTGGCCGGGCAGGGCAAGGCAAGGCCAGGGGGCAGAACAAACACATCCTCGTCCCCTAATGAATTTGGCAAACCACCAATTAGATGTTGAAAATTAATTGGCAATGCCTCGGGCCTGCCTCAAATTGCAAATGGATTTGAGGAGAGTTCAAGGAGCAGAAATCTGAGGTTCCCATTTGCCTTTGACAATGATGAGATGCTTATCAGAGAGGCTTCAGGACATTCTGAAAATTCTTCTTTCGACTACAAATTTACTGCACTTTTGCGCTATTTTCTGGGAGTTTTTCTTTTTCTCTATTTCGCAGAACCTTTGTCAAGTGTCGCAAAAGTTTTTCCTTTTTTGCCAAGGCTAAATTTTCCTTACAAACTGTTTCCCCAAACGGATTGGAGGGAGGTCGGTCCATTGCCTAGGGGGTTTTGTTTTCCACCCGAAATGGTCGTTTGTCATTAAAGGTTTTTGCTATAAATTGTGTTGGAAATAAGAAAACAAGTTTGCGAATTGAAGTGTTGAATCTGTGGAATGGGGATTGAGGGATAGAAATGGCTTCCCAATTTATGCTCAAGACAGCATAGACGTTGATTCTGTATAGAATTATATAGACACGATTTTGTGGTAGTCTCTTAACTAAACATTACATTAGTATCTGTATTATTTCACTCACTAACAAGTATTAAAACTTCCTTTGATAATTTGTAGATGATTCCATTCAAAGTTTAAAATTTCCAGGCCAAAACATTATTCAAACCCCCCACACTCTACCTCCACCTCTACGGTCCGGTACAGTCCACCACTTCACCTTTTCCAACTTTCTGCAGAGAGCCAAAACTTTTCTGACCAAAAACCGAAAAACTCTAAATCCTCAACTAACATTTTTAAGCATAACAAAGTACGACGAGATTTGGCGTATAAATCTTAACGCCGTTTTTGGTTTAGTCAGGCATTGCCCTCCCCCAAAAACGCTTATTATGTAGTTCAAAAAAGGGGTGGAAAGGGAAAGCACCCACAGACCAGGAGAGGATTGGTGGGGACTTTTGGCTGAGACTGAGGCTGGGGTGCCATGGTTGGCTTTGTCCCAAGGGCTTTCTAGTTTTTCGGGACGCTGCGACGATGACTGCAACTTTTTCTATTGACTTAATGCAGTTGGAAAGTGCAACGAAGTGTTGGCTGTAGATTTTCTACAAAAGGCACGGCACTCTTTGAACTTGGGACACCGAAAACTTTAAAGCATTGGAGAACAGACCCAGAGAAGAGAAATAACAGAATTGAAGCTTTGTGATATCATTCTTAAATGCTTACAACATTTGAACATTCACAATTATTGAATATTCCGCTCATCCGAAAGTGCTGATGGATGCTATGGAAAAATAATATTATCTTTCCTGTGGCAAATTGTTTGCCAGGTCAAAGGGTTGAATATAAATGGGTTTCTTGTATAATGTTAAGGACTCAAACTCATACAGATCACTGGAGATTGTACTATAAAAAATATTACTTCTAAAGATCAATAGTTTTAGGAACCAAAGTCAACTTTACCAAGAATTTGTCTATTGTTTATGAAGCTCAAACTTTGGGATCTCAGTTACCCAAGGAAAATCTTTCACTTACCCAAAAACAAAATGTAACTTCATCCTCCGTCCCGTCCCCCTTCAATGACCCGAAAATGGCAACTATTGGCTCTTGGGCTTGTCCTGGGACTGACCACTGTCTGTGCCTCCTTTGTGGCAGGCTTTTACTCCCATCACGAGATCGCCAGTCGAAGGCTGCAGCAGTTGATACAAGAAGATCCCTATGCCTACTACATTAGTCCCAAAATCTATAAAGTGGTAAGGGGAGAAGTCCTCGCCAGAATCTATCAATCATTATCACCCTTATGCAAGTAGTTTTCTTTCTTTAGAACTAAAGATGAAGCTGATCATCGACTGAGGCAGATCATGAAGTATGGTTTCCCGGGTCTGGATGATTTACGGCTGTACAGTGACTTTGTGCTATCCTACGATCGACGGAATCGTGTGGCCCATTGGGTGTGTGAGCATCTGCAGGTGGACGCACTGCAGTCCGGCCAAGTGAGTCGACAACGTGCCTCGTATCGACCGGATCTGACTGTGCCCTCGAATTTCCGATCAACCCTGGCGGATTATCATCGCTCTGGCTTCGACCGTGGTCATCTGGCGGCAGCTGGCAATCATCGCGGACTCCAGAGCCACTGCAACGAAACCTTCTTCCTGACCAACATAGCACCACAAATAGGTCGCGGCTTCAATAGTGGGGCTTGGAACAAACTGGAGATCTATGTGAGGGATCTAACACTTCGCTTTGGATCGGTGTACGTCTGCACGGGTCCTCTGTACAAGCCCAAGCAGCGAACGGGAGGCAAACTCAGCGTGGAGTTCGAGATGATTGGCTTGAGTATGGTGGCAGTGCCAACGCACTTCTTCAAGGTCATCATTGTGGAGTCGAAGCTGCCCCTGGGCAAACCCTATATGGAGGGTTACGTTCTGCCCAACACTGCCCTTCCAGATGGACTCAATTTGCGCTCTTTCCTCTGTGATATCCGGGAGATTGAACACTATGCGGGTCTGAAGTTCTTCGATGGTTGTTTCGAGATTTCGGTTAACAAATAATCCGAGGGGGACAACATCAGTTGGAAAAATTGTATACAATTCCATATTCTATTCTAATGAAAAGACTGGCTTCGTTTTTTGGGGCTTTTCTGCAACAGGAGGTGTCTCGAGTGCTCCATTAGGAGCGATTCGTATGAGAAGTGCGCAAGGGTTGATATGCCACAATTTTCGCGTCGGATATCCTGAATCTGCGCTTCAACGATGTGCTTGTGCTGAGCGTTGGTTCCATGGAGATGGGTAAGGTCTTCAAGTGCTTTAGTTGGAGCGCACATGGCGTTCAAAACGCGGGAAAGTTGTTCGGCATACACTAACTAAACAAATGTTCTTATACTCACACGCCGGTTCCATTGCAGGTTAAGCGATCATCGTTTCCGCATCAAGGACTAAGGATAAACAAGGATCTGCAGCCAAGGATCGAGATTTTACACATAGTAACTAACATCATCTAATAGAGATGCAATCGAATAAGGTGACGCGTAAAATGATCTGCCCTTTTTATTTCAAATTTTTAATTGTTTTTGTAATTTGACTTTTGCAAAATTTATTGTGCATACAATTAGCAAACAATTGGAATTTTGATCTTTATTCATTAATTTATAATTATAAACAGATATGGCCACGTGACGTCACAAATTGTTTTTTACATTACACGCACCACCTCTACACGCAACTACATTGCGCTAACAGCACGCCGTGTTAGTTAACAGAGACAGCGAACAGCTGATTGGCTTGCCAGTCACCCCGCACAGACGACAACTTTACGTGGCAAGCAGCAAAAAAAATCGAATTAGGGAACTGACGTGGAAGTTCCTTTTTGCTTCAAACTATTTTCGCTTTTAATTGCTATCCCTGTGCCGTGGCCAAGGAAAGTTCCAGCGGAACGCTTGAAGGGCATCCAGCAGCGGCAGTCAGTGGAAAGAAAGTGGCCCAAACAAGCCTGGAAATTGTGTTTTTGCCTTGGCGAACTTTGAGCTGCTGTCAATTTCTTTTCTCTCTGTGTGTGTGAAAGTTGTTGTCTGTTTTATCTGTGGACCAAAAGTATGAATCCGAATATGTACGGGCCGCCGCCTACGCAATTCCAGCCACAGCAGCAGCCACAATATGCAGCAGCACCGCCGCCAGTGGGTGCGGGAGGTGCACCTGCTGGTTGGCCCCCTCAACAGCAGCAGCAGCCGCAACAACAGCAACAACCACAGTATGGAGCTCCACCCCCAACGTCGGCACCACAGACGTACCTCAATGGCAACTATCAGCAGCAGGTAAAATACATAATTAAATTTATATTCAAAGAATCTTCCGTTGGGTCGTGGATTGGGGACTGTTCAATCCCTCCACTGATAAGCCTTCATTCATTAAAGAGGTCAAGATTCGATTCCGTAATGAGTGGAAGAGTGGAAGCTGTGCTTCGAGATAACGAAAATATAATTGAAATTGCTTTAACATGTTTTCCGATGCTCAACGATTCTCCTTCTTCCAGCTGGCCACGTCGATGGGCGGCCTTAATGTGGGTGGTGGTGGGGTGCCTGCGCCGCCTCTGAAGGCTGCCCAGCAGCAGGCCCCTCCCGCCGGTCAGGGTGCACAGCCGCCGCCGCCAACGGGTTTCAATCAATTCAATTCGAATGCGTCTCTGCCTCCGACCAACAATAATAATGCTTTTGCTGCGCCGCCGCCTGCCAGTGGAGGAGGAGCAGGCTATGCCAATGGACCAACAACCGGTGCTCCTCCACCGGGTACCAATACCCCGCAGAGCGTGGCCAGTGGCATCAATCAGATGAGCCTGAACAGCGGCCATTTGTCCGGATTGCCCCATATGCCGCCGCCCAAGTCAGCTACGCCCCAATCCGCAGGAGGAGCTGCGCCGCCGCCATCCCTGGGAGCGCCAGGAGCTCAACCAGCTGGAGGACCCTTTGGTGTGAGCACCTCAAGACCCGGCCAGCCTCTGTTGCCGCCGGGAGCAGGTGCCCCGCCAACATATACGCAAGCAGGATTGCCACCTCAGTCGCAGACGGGATTGCCGCCCATGCAGCAGGCCGGTTTGCCACAGCAGTCGGGTCTGCCGCCCATGCAGCAACCGGGATTGCCACCGCAGTCTCAGGCAGGTCTGCCGCCGCCACTGCAGCAACCTGGATTGCCGTCGCAACCGCAGCCAGGAGCATCCTTTGGGTCACCACAGCAGCAGCAACCAGGAGCATCCTTTGGGGCACCACAGCAGCAGCAACCAGGAACGTCCTTTGGGGCACCCCAGCAGCAACCAGTAGCACCACAGCCGGGTGGATTCCCAGGCAGCTATCCAGGCGGTCCACCACCGCTTCCCGGTCAACAATCAGCGGTACCTCCACAATTTGGAGCTCCACAAACTGGTGGATATCCTGGACAGCAGCAGCCAGGATATCCTCCACAGCCTGGACAACAGCCAGCAGCACCAGGATATCCTCCGCAGCCTGGCTACCCTCCACAGCCCGGACAGCAGCCTGGAGCCCTGGGATATCCCCCACAACCCGGACAGCAGTCCATGCCGGGCTATCCCCCGCAGCCTGGACAACAGCCTGGAGCGCCAGGATACCCACCGCAACCAGGCGGCTATCCAGGGCAGCCAGGACAGCAGCAACGTCCTGGCTTTAATGTGAGTGTGAAATGCCATTCCTTGGGATCTCTAAATCACCTGCCAATACTTTTTTTCAGCAACCTCCGATGCCTGGAGCTGGCAACATGTACCAACAGGCACCGCAGCAACGCCGTCTGGATCCCGACCAAATGCCGAATCCCATTCAAGTGATGATTGAGAACCAGAGGCTAGCCGGTGGGCCGTTCGTCACCAATCAGCCGGGTCTGCTGCCGCCGCTGGTGACGACCAAATTTGTGGTGCACGATCAGGGCAATTCGTCGCCGAGATACTTGCGCTCATCGCTGTACTGCATCCCCAATACGGGTGACATACTGAAGACCACGGCTCTGCCCTTGACGCTGAACATCTCGCCGCTGGCACGCATTGCAAAGGGAGAGCTGGAGCCGCCGATTGTGAACTTTGGCGATATGGGACCCATTCGCTGCAATCGCTGCAAGGCATACATGTCGCCCAATATGCAGTTTGTGGATGCAGGACGCCGTTTCCAGTGTCTGATGTGCAAGGTTTCATCGGAGGGTGAGCGCTGAAGGACCTTAAGGAATGTATCCATGTATTCTAATGATTGTTGTTTTCCATCCATCCTTCTTTGGCAGTCCATCCCGATTACTATCAGCATTTGGATCACACAGGACAGCGTGTGGATAAGCATGAAAGACCTGAACTGCTGCTGGGAACCTACGAATTTCTGGCCACCAAGGATTACTGTCGTGTAAGCGAATGAAGCCCACAAGACCAAGCAGTCCTTTCTTCATGGTTTTATCTCTATCCCAAAACAGAACAATGTCCAGCCAGAGGTGCCTGCATTTATCTTCATCATTGATGTGTCCTACAATACAGTCAAATCGGGCTTGGTCCATCTGCTGTGCGCCCAAATCAAGAACATACTCAAGCACCTGCCGGTGGATCAGGGTCAGGATAAGTCCAAGGTGCGCGTGGGTTTCATCACCTACAACAGCACCGTGCACTTCTACAACATCAAGAGCAACCTCGCCCAGCCCCAGATGATGGTGGTGGGGGATGTCCAGGAGATGTTTATGCCGCTATTGGATGGCTTCCTCTGCCATCCAGAGGAATCTGCAGCCGTCATTGATGCTCTGATGGAGGAGATACCGCGCATGTTTGCAGACACCAAGGAAACTGAAACAATTCTCTATCCGGCCATTCAAGCGGGTCTGGAGGCCCTCAAAGCCTCCAATGCGGCGGGCAAGCTGCTTGTGTTCAACTCCACCCTGCCCATTGCCGAGGCACCGGGAAAACTAAAGAATCGCGATGACCGGAAGCTCCTGGGCACCGACAAAGAGAAGACTGTGCTGACGCCACAGACCACGGCGTACAATACGCTCGGGCAGGAGTGCGTGCAGCAGGGCTGCTCGGTGGATTTGTTTGTCTTTAATAATGCGTACATCGACATTGCCACCATTGGACAGGTGGCCCGCCTGACGGGAGGGGAGGTGTACAAGTACACCTACTTCCAGGCGGATGTGGATGGCCAGCGTTTGATCGAGGACATAATCAAGAACGTCTCGCGACCGATTGCCTTTGATGCGGTAATGCGTGTGAGGACATCGGCGGGCATACGACCCACAGAGTTCTTTGGACACTTTTACATGTCCAATACAACGGATGTGGAACTGGCCAGTATTGGTGGGTGCACGCCTCCCTTTAAATGATCCCTTTCTAAGCTTTAATCGAACCCTTTTTACAGATGCCACCAAGTCTGTGAGCATTGAGATCAAACACGATGACAAGCTGCCGCCAGAGGAGAACGTCTATGTGCAGGTGGCCCTGCTGTATACCTCGTGCAGTGGCCAGCGTCGTCTGCGTGTCCTTAATCTCGCTCTGCGCGTGACCACCACCATTGCGGATGTATTCAAGAGCTGCGATCTGGATGCCATTATGCTGTTCTTTGCGAAGCAGGCCTGCTTCAAGCTAATGGAGCACACACCCAAACAGGTCAAGGATAACCTAATCCATCGTTCGGCACAGATTTTGGCCTGCTATCGCAAGCACTGCACTTCGCCCACATCCGCGGGACAATTGATCCTGCCCGAGTGCCTCAAGCTGTTGCCGCTGTATGCCTCGTGCCTGCTCAAGAACGATGCGATATCGGGTGGCTCTGACATGACGCTGGACGATCGCTCGTTTGTCATTCAGTTTGTGCTCTCGATGGATCTGAATATGTCTGTGAACTATCTGTATCCCAGATTCATTCCCATACACAATGTCAGTGCAGAGGAGACGGAGCTGCCGACACCAGTGCGCTGCACGCACGAGAAGATCACAGAGGATGGCGCCTATATACTGGAGAACGGTGTGCATTTGTTCATTTGGCTGGGTCAGTCGCTGTCCCAGAACTTTGTGCAGTCCGTGTTTGGAGTCCAGGGACTGCAGCAGTTGGCTCTCGAGAGGTTCAACATTACAGCGGAGACGCCACTGGCGCGGCGCATCACTGATATTCTCGAGCAAATTATGCAGGAACGCTCACGCTATATGAGGGTAAGGAAATCTCTCTTTTAAGGTTCCGCTAAGCAAAAGGATACATTTCTTTAATCTCTTTCTTGACAGATCACTTGGCTGCGACAGAACGACAAACTGGAGAGCGTGTTCCGGCATTTCCTCATCGAGGATCGGGGCACTGATGGCTCTGCCAGCTATGTGGATTTCCTCTGTCACATGCACAAGGAGATCAAGGATCTGTTAAGTTAGCACGTAGGCTACACATACAAGCTGCCCGCCGCAGCGGCCTCCTCCAGCGGTGGACGGGACTGGTCCGATAGCTACTCCCAGAATCGGGCACGTATGCGACGGCTATCGTCCATGCGCAGTCGCTTTGGCAAGTGAGGAGGAGTATATGGAGTATGTGCGTGGCATGCGGCATGTGGCCTCGTGTGGAGTGAAGCAGGAGCTGGAACTTCAATTATATCTACATATAAATACATATACATCTATAAATATATTTAATTAATTGCTATCATTTCGAGCGTATCAAATCTTCCATTAATTTTATTAAAGTTTTCACATTTTCCACATTGTTTCCAACAAATTTCCCTTCGATCTATGAATTCTTGAACGCCCAGGGCCTTTAAAAAATGAAACATTTGATAAACGAGGCCAACAACTAGCAAAATTTTACTCTCTTATTAAATTCCATAAATATTTAAAACAAAAATGTAATTTAAAATTACTTGCAAATTTCCTACCACACTTGAGATCGTTTAGGATGAGGATTCAATTGATGATAGATCATGATTTAGAGTTTTTAGAGTGTTTTTCCCCCCATCACACGTATTTTTTTTGTATTTTTAATCTTTTTGTCAATCATTTTGTGTGCGCTGCGCCCTGCTTTTTATCCACTACTTAATGTAACTCAAACTATTATTATTATTATAACATAAATGTTTTGATGTGAGAACTACTATAATTCTATGGTATACTGCCCCCCCTCCCTACTCACACTACACCCAGTCCTCCCCAGACAGAAAAGCAAAAACGAAAAATATATTACTGAAAATGAAAAAAGAAAACCGGAATAAAAACTCTTTAATAAAAACAAAAAATTCGCTAGAAAATTGTTTTTTTTTAGATAGAATATTTTGATATAAGATAGTGGTGGATTCTGAAGGAGGGGAAGTCTTTATAGATATTAAATCTGTCTTAAATTTTCAAACGAAAGATGCGAGTGTTCGTATGTGGAGTATGGGGAGTGCGATTGATGTTCGTCTAAAGGACATTTATGCTGGGCTTGGTATTCCATAAATGATAGTATATGATTCGTTCGGTCGATCTTAAAGCGTATTAAAGATAAAATTATTAAGGAATTAAATCCCTTTAATAAAAATAATAATTCTGTAAAATAGTTTTGAACTTAAGATCGTCTATATGAGATGTTGGGCTGGCTAGAGCTAGCAAGTTGATGGATGAAATTTAATAATTATAGAAAAGATATCCATAAATATTTAGGTGTGTATATCGGTTGAGGTACTGTCTGAAATACATCTTTTTATCCTACGTTTCCTGTTCTGTAAATTATTTAAAAAATTCAGAGTTAATCTTAGTACTTATTAAAAATCTTAACATAGTTTCATTGATGAAATATCTTAGAAACATTTATGCATATATATATACATATATATATTGTCTAGATAATATTTCGGAGCTTTGTTCTTTCTAAATAAAACTTTTGGATACATGTAGAACCCTTCATACAAAACCTCTCGCCATAAACGTCCTCAATGGGCTATAATTAAATAAACTATTGTACTCTCTTTCTAAATAGAGATTGAATAAGCTGCCATGTGACTGTCTATCCAAAAAGGTAGCCCTGTTTCATTTCGTTTCGTTGTAAAGATCTCATATCCTCATATTTGAGTGTTTGAGAGACTCCAGATCTTCCACGCTTGCCCTGTACTATAAGAATGTATGTGGATGTGTAATTACATCTATTATATGGTGTAGATCCTAGTGATTGCATAGAGTCAAATATATAGCTCCTCCGAATATCTACACACGAGTAACTTCTGAAAATATACAAGAACCCTCCCTAGATCTAGCCATTAAAGGGTCCTCATCCAAGCATAGCAAGTACTATAAGAAATTGTTATGTGTATGCCCCAAGTATTATGTATCAGGAATGAAATATATCGATCCCCGAATTCGCATAAATGGGGAGAATTTTGCAAAGTTGCATATACATATTCGTTTTATATGGTATGTATGTATATATATATTGTATTATATATTTTATTAGGCCTTTAAATATCTAAGAATTATTATTATTTGACGTGCACATTTTACATTTACATAGATTGGGTTTTTTTTCGTACTCTTTTTTGTTTTTTTTTGTCTCTTCTAAATTTAATATTTTGTTTTCTTCTTTTTCTTGTATATATTATGTTTTATTTTTGTTTTTTAACATTTAGAAAAGGTTTTCTCTTTAGCATTTAGAAAATGTTTTTTTTTAACTTTCATCAATTTCAATGTTCCCGAAATTCAATAACAATTTAAAATAAAATAAAAAGGTTTCCTAAGATGAATGTCTCTGCGAGTGTTTCTGTCTGTCTGTTTTTCTGTGTGTGTGTGTCTGGGGCAGGTGCACATATACTTTTGTGTGTAGCTGTACTTATATTTCAATTTAAACAAAAAGCGAAAGTGCGGAATTTGATAAACGTTTTGAACTGATACTCCGCCTGGCAATCACAAATTAAATTGATAATAAACAACACACACAATTTTGGGGGGACATTAAAAAATATGTATATATATAAAGTATGTATGGTATTTGTAGGATATAGTAGGATCGTCAGACAAAAATATAGATTTGCACGGGGCGGGGGTGGGGGCTGTAGAGTTTTGCACGGCACTTACAATTAGGTGTTACAGTTTATAATTACAAAAACATTGCCATAGCTCCTATCTCTTGCGATCTGCTTCGACCTCCTGCACTCTCGTCAATCTCTCTCTCCCGAGCTACACCTCAAAAGTTAACTGATTTTTTTTTCTGTTTCGATTTATACTCAAGTCACATACTCTGGAACACAGCTTATTAAATATTTTTGTGGTTTTTGTTTTTTGTTTAGAAAAGAACTTCAACTATTGGCTAGCATATCGTTTCGTTTATTCGGAATAATTGTTGAATACGTAAAAGAAATATTTAACCGAAAGGTGAAAGGATCTGTTGATTGGATACTGTTTCGAATTTTGCAGCTTCTTTATATCGTTTATATATAGATGGTATATCTTTTATGGCTGCTCTTCTTCTGGGGGGTTGCTTAAAGTTTAACATATATATTGATATTGATTGAAACTGAATGGAGGAGTCCCAGTCACAGCAAAAGTTTCGTTTCTTAAACAAAAAGCAGCAAAATGTATTCCAGATCTGTGTGTGTGTGTGGGTCTGTGTTTTTCTTGTGTGTGTGTGTGTGCTGTTGAGAGGAGTGATGTCCCACATCCTATTTCGTAAACGCCATAAAGACCGCCCAAAGTATCTCATTCGCATTCGGCTTGGCCGCCTCCGTTTCAAAATCAAGATCCAACAGCTCTCGTACACGCTTCATGGCCACCTCGTAGTCATCATCGTTGAGCGGCGCAAAGGCATTCTCAATGACATCGCTGGCATGCGCCAGAAAGATTAGCGCCAGCATACGCTTATCCATGCGCTGTGGATCATTCACCCATTTAGACAACACTGAATCTTGTATCTGCAACAGACAGAAGGAAGGCTGGTTAGAAGGTATTCTTTCGGAGGGGTTACACTCAGTCCTACCTTCTTAACCAGACGACATTTAACAACATTATCGTTGAGCGGATGTGTCGTCATATCGAATAGCAGAAAGTTTTGCTTTTCCGTTGTCAGAACACCCTTCTCCACCAGGTTCTTGGCCAGACGTTCGCGTACATTCTTTAGCTGGTAGCGTAATTTCAATGGATTCCAAGTTTCACCTGAAACAGAAACCATATCATTATAATCATTATAAGATTAGCTGTAGGCTAATAATAATTACCACTGAGATATTCAATCCAACTCTGGACCGTCTCTGGTGGATCTGTTTCCTTAATGTGTTTCAACGCCTCATCCAAAAGAACATCACCCGTCGCCTGATCAGATTTCAGTATCAATTTTCTATGAGACAAAAGATATGGGAATCATTTAAAAGGGTAGCACATATGTGTATTTCTTTACGACCCCACCTTGTACATAGGCCACGTCGCCGCATGCCAGACTTTTCAATCATCACACGTCCTCGGATGCCAAGTTCTATGAGAATGCAGCCCCGCAATCCGCTTGATATGCAGTCATTCCAGAACGATGTGTAACCCTGGCAACAAAAGGTTAAGAAATATGCATTTTAGACTCCATTAATGAGACGGACAGTGGATGGCTTCATAGGTTTATTGTTGAAGAGAATCCCCTTGTAAATAATTATTTGTTTGATTGCGTGCTAAGAACTTATGAAGGGCCTCTGAAATATGGCCTGGCTCCCTGCAATGAGATTTATTCTTCCGCGAACGATGCCAGGAAGATGCCCAAGCGCAAAAGACAATGCCCGAGAATGCATAAACAAAATACATGCAATGCCATGAAGGCAAGCTGAGTGTTCGTTCTAGGGACCGATAATCCAAAAGACGCAATAGATTCCAGACCGAGGCTCGGGACAATGAATCCAAAAACAAAATACGCCTAGTGAGAATGCTCCTAAATTTTTAAAAACCTGCCCACCTCAACATTCAATATTTAATTCTTTTTTTTATAATATTTTCTCCGGAATCTAGATTGTAAAGTACACTGACACACCCTCTAAATGCATTCAACTATACGTTGCACTTATGCAGAAGATCTATGTATTGTTTTAGGATCCATTTACACAGCAACTTAGTTTCTGGCTGGCTTCCATTGATGGAAAATGTCCGAAATCAGCCCCCGGCCCAAAAGGTTGGCGGGGTTCTGTTCTCGTTGCTATAGCCTAAATAAATTCAACTGTTCAAAAGTTTAAACAGCTGTTGTGTTCCCGACAAAAAAAAGCCTCTTCGGCCCTGACATTATTATTATTTTTTAATATTACTTTTTAACTTTTTCTCCCGTGCAACACGTGGAGAAAAACCATATAATTTGGTGATTTATTTGCTTTTTTTAGTACAAAAATATAAATTAATTTAGCAGTTTTTTTATGTACGATTATATATGTATGTATGTACATATAATTAAATACTGGACAATGTTGCATTGTTAAAATATACAATATATTAACAAACAATCAAATTTGAAGAGAGTATGATTTAAAAATAGAATTTTTTGAATATACTATTCTTATATATCGATAAAGCCATCGATTGTTATGCTACCGATAAAAGGTAGCCATTAAACCCATTTTTCTTCAATTAATTGTCGAACCCTTATCACGAATGAATCATTCGAAACACCATAAAACCGTATCATTGACATTTAAAGGTTCTTTTATGCATATCTTTTCAAATATTGAGTGACGTTCCATAGGGCTGATAAGAAACGACGAAACGATGAAAAGCAAGCGTGTGCTAGAACATTTTCTGTAGAACTTCCTCAAACAATTAACCAAATGGTGAAAAAATGTCTCTGATAAGAAGTTTTTTTATTCTTTCTGCTGCCACACAGAAGACTTTCCAGAGAAACAATGGAGAGCAGAGCGACACGTTCACCGTCCACGTCCGTTCTCTGGTTCCACCCGGCCCGGCCACTGCGGGTATAATATACTACTAATAAAAACAAATAGACGTCGTATCACTCATTCACAGAGACATATATGTACAGGCAAATATACTACTAAATATATACAAGTCTACTTACATCACTGAGAACAACAATTGAGCGATAAAGCACCCGAACGAGCAGCCCAATGAAATACAATATAAAAAGCGTATTCCAATGAAGAAATTTGAGTATACACTCCAATGGGGCACGTATTTTAATGGCAAACATACCAAATATTATGCAAATATATTTCTGAATATCTCTTAATAATATGCAAATTAAGAAATAGACACACAGTGAGAGAGAGAGCGAGAGAGAGAGAGGGGGAAGAAAAACTCGTTTGATGGAATGCTTTAAAGCCCCCAAAGCCGGAGGCTGTATCTGATTTGAAGTTTAAGGAAGAGTTATTTTAATCACAGAGTGAGCGTTGTAATAGAAAGACAAGGAGTGTTTTTCATAGTATAAAGCATTAAATAGACATTTGAAAAACATTTAAGAACTAGAGAAACAAAATGTTGGATGTAAACTCCTGTTTACCAAGTGCTCATTCGCTGTGGCATTCAAAAATTTAAAGATATGAGGTTCCCATTTCGTTGAATAGAGCACTTAGCTATAATGTATAATCCAATATAAGGATAAACATAAACATAAGATCACAGGGTTCTTGATATAGTAAAGTAAACCCTTGACCTTTTCTGTACGCTTTACTCAAAATACATCCAAGTAGCGGGTATTCTATAGTCTTTTCATCTCTTAGAAGGTATATTTATAGAAAACTGAGTAATTGAATCAAGTTTATGCGGCCACAACAGCTGTGGATTGGATAATCTAATCGGACAAAATGATAAAGCCAGAGAGCAACGCTTCATTCTACCTTCAGATATTAGACAGCAAACAGCTCAAAACCTATAGGAATCAGTTCTGCATAAATTAACATCCAAAAAGATTGGCAAAAAGTCATAGAAGACAGATTTATGGCCACAACAAATGGGGAGAGGGGGAAACGCAACTTTAAAAGCCAGAGTTACTTATATAGGAAAACATTCATAGTTTATTACACAACAGACCTCCGAATAGGAGGCGAACGCGCACGGGGGGCCACGACATGGAGGTGTCGCAAGCCAAAAATGCAACAAAAGGGGAAAGAGCAAGATCACAGTCGAAGCCAGTTGCCGATGCTGCCAAACATCTTCAGAAAACAATTAATTAGCGCTCGAGCGCCAAAGATAAGGCGGGAACGTACATACTCCACTAGCCTGTCAGAGTGTTTTTTGTGGGTAACGCACCTCTTTATCCTTGAGACCCAATAGCAGGACCTCCTCCATAAGCGTTAGCCGCGTCTCCTTGGAGTCACCATCGTCGATGTTATCCTCCTGATCCTTGCCGCTGTCATTTGGATCTTGATTGTCGTCTGGTGTATTGGCATTCAAGCCACCAGCAGCACCCTCCGCACCGTTCTCGCGGTACTTCACGGTGCGCCTGACCAAGCCATCCGTGCGATTCATTTTCTGATGGAAGCTACAAATGTGATGATGATGTTGTTGTTAATGCTGGCTGTGGCTGCTGCTGCTGCTTCTGCCTGCTGGTTGTTCTTTTTGTGTGTGTGGCACAAATTGCTGACTCGTCGGCTGCTGCGGGGATGGTGGTTAGCCTGTTTACAGAGTGTGCGTTTTGCTGTACGCGCGCGTGTATCTGTAAATTTGGTGTGTTGTGTTGTTATTTCTGCTTCTTTATGCCCCCGAACTTTTCTCTGCTTTTCGCACACACGCACTTTTCACTTCTTGCACTAGAATGCACTCTACTCTCCCAAAAACTGCGTAGTCGTCGGGGCTCTCGTTGCTTGTATACCGTTTACTTTGGCAATATAACTCTGTAATTTAATATAATTTAACTACACATCCTAAATCTTTAATCGCATATCCTTGCGTTTGCTTTAATTATAAATCTTGCGCAAAATAAGCTTTTTTATTTGTGTCTTTTGTCGTCGCTTCTGTTTCTTCGACGTGACATTTTCTTGCCTAGTGTTGGAAAGCGTGTCAAACAGTGGGCTTAAACTCGAACTAATTCCCAATTTAATTGAAAACTAATAACTTACTATGATATTTTATATTAAATTAGTATATAAAACACGCAGATTTGTACAATTTAATGAATATTTAGGCAGCGCTCAACAGCTGTTTGGCCAGGGTTGTAGGATGGTTTGCTATTTTTCACCTGCTATCGATAGTGCAATCGTTGTGATTCCCAGCTCTAGTAGAATCCCTGTGTGTGTGTGTATAATAAAAACATTGGGCGGCTGAAGGATTTTCGTAAATTTTCTATTGTTTTCATTGCATTAGTCACTGCCACGCCCACTTGACGCTGTAACCATGTCGTATTTGTCCAACTTCAACAACGAGAATGCCAAGCAAATACTCATGGACATCATCCGTTGTGTGAATCAGCCGGACAACTCGAAAAAGTTATCCGAGGCCAAGGCATCCGCTGGCAAGGAGATGATGCTAATGATGCAGCACGTCTTCCCACTGGTCATGCAGCTGCAGCTGGAGGTAATCAAGAGCCATGGCTTTCCCGGCAACCGCGAGGGCCTGGTGCAGTTCTCGCAGCTCATACGGGAAATGGAACGCGATGATATGGAAATTGCACGCCTGCGCAGTCAGATTCGGGCCATCTACCTTCCGCCCATAGCTATAAATACCACAAATGATATACTGATTTAATAGAGAATGTATTATACTCTGCCCCAAGACTGTAACTAGGCTTAAGTTAACTTTCCACATAGGCGCATTTCTTTTTATACATTTGTGTTTGTTTCTTGTGTATTTTTACAAATTTTGTTCTGTCTATTGCTAAAACAATAAGTAACATGGCATATGGTTCATATCTATAAACAATTAAGGATTTGTGCCAGTCCACGACGTATATATATATATAAATTATCGTCAGAGTCAAGTCTAGGATATGTCGAGAAGACAGCCCACGCTTTCGGGGCGATAAAATAAACAATTTCTTCGTACCTATAGTTTAAGTCTTTCCTTAAAATCTAAGCATTATGTACACGTCAAGTAGTGAGAGCTGCCCCGAAACAATTAACAATTAAGCGAGGATAACTAGTGCATTGCATTCCCGTTTGTGGTGGGCGAATTGTTATTATTGCCATTCTGATAGTCTGTCGCCGTAAGTTTGATAGGATTTATGCTGGCCATGTCATTGCCATTCAGTTTGTGTTGCAGGTGCTCAAGCTGCTGGGCGAAATGTGTATCTTCCGCCGCTGTGGTGGAGATGCTATCGGCATCGTTTGTAATTGACATCGACATGGGTGAGAGCGGCGTCACGGGCGTTGTACTGGCACCCAACTCCTCAATCGTTGAATCACTTTGATTTGAGGGCGTGCTGGAACTTGAACGCACCGGATATGCATCATCTAGGGGCAGAGCAAAGCCATGCGCGATCATCAAGTCACCTATGTTTAAATCAGCTCCCTCTGCGGGATCGAACAGCTCTACTCCTGGCAATGGTGTGCCCTCACGGGTGGCTGCATTCACTCCAGCCGTCACCTTGGGACGCTCCTTGTAGGTAACGACGCGGGCTATTAGCTTACGCCAGTGGGCCACTAAAAAATACAATGTTTGGTCTTAGTTATTTCCATTTGTAAATCATATTAGAAGCTATAACTTACCCTCTGTCATCTCCTCAAACTTTGCTATCGATGATTTTTGCCATGTATTTGGCTCATTGCTAATGGTGGACTTGACATTGGCCAAAAAGCATTCCACCGCTTGGAATCTAAGGGAAATATCAACAAAAGTTAAAGCTTTAGCTATAGCTATACCTAAAGGTATGTGTCGTCTCACCTGAGTGTTAGGAAATCCGTGCGCAGCTCACAGACATCTGCTGGGGAGATATACTCGCTATCTCCATAATCCACAAAATAAAGATCAATCACCTGCTCTTGGGGATTGTATTGATTGGGCATAATGTCGACAATCTCGGCACGATACCATTTCTGATCAAACTTAAACACAGCGGCCACAATCTGGCCCACATAGGGGGCTGTCAGGATATGTTTGGCTCGGTTTTCCGAACTGCTATAGTAGTTGGTCATCTCCTTGACCATGTCATCGAGTTTCTTCGACTGCGGGCCCACCAGCTGCACCCAGAATTTAGTGGGCGAGGCCACAGCGGAGACATACACCTCCATGGGCTTGTCATCGCCACGGGCAGCCATCAGTTTGTCACGCGGCTGCATGGAGCTGAGCGATGTCTGCGAGGAGTATATGCTGGAGGCTATGCTATTGGTGGGCGAACGGCGTGGTTCACGGCGCTGCTCCACCTCCTCCACGGAGCGCAGAAGCTCTTCATCCTCTTCGATCTGATCGTCTAGTAGTTTGCGGGCAATATTCACCTGCTTCTGATTGCCCACAATTGTGATCTTGGCCTTGCCATTCCGTCCATTCGGATCGATAGTAATCTTGGCCAACGAATTGCGGCCAATGTCCTGGATAATCTCGGCGCCCCGTCCGTACAGTTTGCTAGCCAGCCGCTGTGACACTTGCAGCTCCACTTTGACAATGGGTGCACGCTCGATTTCGCGTATAAGCATCACACGGGCTGCCTTTACGGCGTCTGGTACGCCGCTAATGTCGCAATATTTGTGTTCACTATCCTTGTCCCTGAAAAAGCAAGCGCCCATGGCAGAGAATTAGAGATTGTTTCTTGTGTAACTTTGGCCAAAATTTAAATCCAATTACCGTAATCTTATCTTGGCCGAGGTCTTTTCCTCCATCAGCTTTATATTGGCTCCGCCGCGTCCCATAATCAGCGGCACATGCTCGTTATCCACTACGATTTTCAATACAATTTCCTTTGTACTCTGCTGCTGCTGCTGCTGCTGCTCCAGTTCTATCCGATTCCTAGCCTCGTCTTGTTCCTCCTCATCGCTGCGATTCTTAAAGTACGCATACAGCATAGCACCTCCCAGGGAACAGAGTCCCAGGCCCAATATCAATTTATATGTGGGCGTGCCACCAAAAGGAGTATTGCGTAACATTCTGTGGAGTTTCTATTCTAAAATATTTCAATTCGTAATCTTGATTATTCCTTTGAGCTTTCTGTCAAACTGCAACAAACAGATCAAAGAAATGGTGATGGATAAATTTTCTCAAGTTTCTTTCCAAGGTCAAGGTCGTGTAATTTGTTAGTATTTATTGCGTGTGGTACGGTACTGGTACGGTACCTTAATATAGAAAATAATACGGCGTATTATAACGCCTTAATGTGAGTAAGTGAATCGATAGAAGAGCATGGTTGGGTCTTCGCTTACATAAACACTTATCATTTTGTCACTGGACATTCAATTTGACAATTTCCGACATATTGCAGGCCGCAGAGCACAAATTAAATTTGGCAAACAATCCTACACACAAAAAGTGACTTCATAATTGAAATTGCCAGCGAGAGGTTCCCCTGCACAGAAAATAGATGTGTGACGTTAGCCCCGTGTGCGAACACTATACAACAAATTTGTATACATAACTAGTATGTTATTATGTATATGGTAGATCAGCTTTGGACAGTTTTGTTTTTCAATTTAAGAATGCACTTCTCTTTTGCAGCGAATGCGCTTGTGCGTCCCGAGTCGAGTAAATTGCATGACTTGTGCAGGATAGTGCTCTGAAAAGCCATAAAGTCTAGCAACTGGGTAACGCAATTAACCAAAATAGATACCCAAATAATGGGCTCTCCCTTAGCCAGTATTCACTGTCTATTGTTTTGTATACATATTCCATTTTTTAAACCCCAATAATTCACAATATTGTCGTAGCTTTGCACTGGTTCTTGGACAAGTTAAACGAGTTTATGCGCTCATATGTGTTATCAGACCGGTTTAACATTTATTTCCTCCAAATGCAACTAAATGAAAGTAAGCTTTTTTATCTATTTACTTTTTACTGATAACCCCCAAATTATGGGAATACATGGTAAACAACACCCAAAAATAACATAAGTATAGCACATTTAATTGATTTTTTTATGGCGCTGACCTTGATCGTGATTTGCTGTAGATTGTTTCGCACTAAAGCTTTTCCTTTGTTTTTTTTTTCTGTTTGCTAAAACAAATGCTTAAACTCAATGAAGCGTCTTATTTGAGTCGACAGATGAGTTGTTTGGCTTTTCCATTTTCACGTCGTCTAATTCGTTCGTAAATCGTAAGTTATGTTATTAGAAAATTATTATTTCTCGCGAGAGATAAAAGGCTTGCCGTCGCCTCTACATTTCAATATAAACTGTTGAAAAGAAGGCATTTTGAATATTTGGCCCCACAAACGGTCGGTCGGGTTTGAGAGAGAGAGAGAGCGCCGACATCAGCTGTTTTGGAAGCATACTCTTTTACCAATACACTCATACAGGAGAGCGTCTGGCTGGGTTCTTGTTGTTTTTATTTTGCCGGTTCATTTTGCACGGTAAATGTGGAAAAGAAGAGTGTATTGTTACTGTGTATACGTATGTAACAGGTGGAAGAGAGCGTTTCCGAACCGATAAGGTATAAATATATTCTTGATCCCTTATACTTAAAACTATATATTGGCATAATTTGAATGCCAATTGGATCATTATCTTTTGAGTCCATCAACAAACAAACCAGATTACAGGGTATCTCGTAGTCGTAGTGTGAACAATAGCAATTGAAAAATTGAATAGAGCTGCATAAGCACATGTACACACGCATATGGCTCTGGTAATTAACAGCAATACGACTATTGGCATAAAGGCAAATAATGAAAAGCAAACAAAACGTAAATTAGCTAGCGGCAGTGTCTGATGCAGAGGGAGAGGAGAGCGAGCGAGAATAGCTTGAACAGAACAGCGGGAGAGTGCGCAGAGTGCTAAATTTAGTGAAATGACATAATAAACCGTTCGCTTGGCTTAAGTTGTGGTTGTGACCCTCTCTGTACTCTCAAACAGATTTATGATCGATTTCTGAATGGCCCCCAGTTCCACAACAAGGATTACAGTTAGAATAAATAGATCCCCTAACAAGTGTCGCCATTAGCATTTACCTAGCGGACGTTCCCGATTCGCTCGCACGAAATATTGTCTGCCAACAATTGTGCGTTCTGTTTGGCGAAGAGGTCACGCGGTGAAAATGCTTGGGATGAGTCGAATTTTCTATTGGCAAAGTTTCAAATTTTATTTCGCCTGTACGTATGTATTTATTGTCTCTGCCTGCCTGTTGCTAAATAAAGCCGAGTCCACAACAAATATCGACGTCATCTTAAGGTATTTAATAATCCGCGAGGCTATTTGGAGAAACTTTCTTGAACAAGAACCAAATCTATCATTCAGTGGAGTATATTTGCATTTTAGATTTGTATGCGCTGCAGCTTGCGGCTACTTGCGGCTTTGTGAAGTTCTTAATGAAAAACCAGTTTGTTGAAGAGCAGAAGCATCCAAAGGTAGAGATGCCACTCGTAAAAGGTCAATCAAGGGGTTACTAAATGGCTTTAAAGCTTTGTCAATAACTTGGATAGTTATGTACGCTACACACACACATAGGAATATTTTCCTGTGTTTGCGTACAACTGATAGTAAAAGTGCTCTGTCGACCATTCAATGCGTTAACTTACCCTATGCAGCTATCTTAATGCCGTCTTTATGTTCTATCGATTCCCTGGCTGTATTTGTTCTATATCTAATTCTTTAAGCCGACACTAATTAACCATTCACTCAATTCTTGGTTTGAAAACAACAAAAACACCGAGTCTGCTTTATAAAAACGTGCAACAAGCCAAAAAACAACAAAAACGCCGAGTCCAGTGTGACCGCGGATTTATCGCTAAAATATACCGTCGGACCCTCCGAAATATACCAAAATATTCCGTCTCATTTTAAAAATATCCCGAAAATATACTGACGAATTCAAGTTCTATTACACATATTCCTCGATTTTCATATTCCGTGGAATATTACTTGCTATCTAGATCTCTCAGACCTGCCCACATAATTTTATGCAATTAATGAATCCATTTTCTACTTGACTGGCTTATTCTTAATACTTGCTTTTATATAAATCTTGTCTAAAAAAGGTTTTAGCAAAAATGGTCAACAAAAAAAAAAAACTCAACTATTGCTCAATTTAGAGATTCCGTTGAATAATTTTGGCTAACTAAAACCCTTAGTACTGCCCACATCATTTTAGACCATTAACGAATACATTTTCTACAAGATTGGCTAATATTTAGTCCTTGCTTTTATTGTATTTTGACTAAAACAAGGTTTAAACAAAATAGTTCCACAAAAACAGTCGCAATGATGCTGGTACATGTTGTGTGTAAGGCCGTAGTATATGCCTTTTTATACCCTATTTCGTTAATTTAATATGAAGATGAAACGAATTATAACCCGATCCTGATACTTGTTGATCTCTGTATGAAGACAATAAGCTGCACAATATCGTTGATATAGGTTTAAAACAGAGAACAAAATGGTTCTTGCATTAATTGGAGCCTGGGATAATAAACATATTTTTAATTCTATAATATCCCTTTCCCAAGGGTATGCCCAGAAATTGAAATTGAAAGCGCGCGCTTTTTTCTATATTGTCATTTATTTGAATGTAAGTATAAAATGCATTTTGAGCAGCTAAAAGCTGTTAGGTCGTAATCACTAACTATACGGGTAGACATCCCTTTTTGTCTAAGTACAATGAACACTTTCTGAGTTTTAAGGCGTGCGCGCACACATTTGGAAGAAAAAACAACAACTTAAGGCATTATGGCATGGGCGTGTGTAGTGGCTCTGGCTGTTGCTCCTGAACAGCTAGGAAATGTCTCTTAGCGTATTTGGCTTGCTGCCATCCATATCAAAGCACCGACAATTACAGCAAGAGACGGGACATTCAGAGTTTTGTCTGCAAAGAAAAATAAACGGAAATAAACGAATGATTTTCTGGGTTTTTGGAAGTAAATTAGAGACTCACTTGAACCACTGCATTATGTGCTCGGTGTGTCCGCCATGGCGACACGTCTGGCACCAAGAGAACCACTTCGAAAATGGCTTCGTTTGCCAGCCCTGCACCTCGGGCGTGGTGCTGAGCGTCTCGCCATTGCTCATGTTAATCATCGTTCCCATGTGCATCAGACAGAGCGAGCAGCGTGGCAGGGGCTTGCGGCAGCTGGGGCAGGACGACAGGCGATTTGTGCTGGTCGTGGTGCTCCGCGGACGTGGCTCGTCCAGCAGGGCATTCGACACGGGCTTGCCACAGAAGTTGCACGACAGATAAACGGTTCGCGAGCTGCGCGCCGACGCGCGTATGCCCTCAATTTTGATGTCAAGCTCGGCACGTTTCTCCCACAGACCCCAGCTGTTGAGGTAGTCCAAATAGCTTGAGATCCAGTACTGTATGCGTTTGTCCGAGAAAAGCTCCTGTCGGAAGTAATTGATGGCCACCAGGGCCACAGTCTGTACATCAAAACTGGTATCCATATACGACTGCAGTATGTTTATGCCATCGAGCGACTCTCCGGTGAGCAGCAGTCCATTGAGATCCCCGCATTCGATGGCCGACTGTATCTGTTGTTTCACATAGTCCGTCAGCTTGGTCTCCGACAGATATTTGCATGCAAATGCCATACGATCGGACAGCGAGACGCCTTCTTCTTTGAGCACAGCCTCAAAGTTGTCCTTTTCCATCGTGAGGAACGAGAAAATTGCCCTTAGATGTGGATCCTGTATCTGCATATTTGCACTGGAGCGTTGATTGCGCGACGTAGAACTACAGCGATCCGCATTGAAGCTAGACAGCGCAATCACCGTGATCCTGTACATGCTGGGGTCCCTCATGTTGTCCGCCGCAGAGGACAGTATATTGCAGGCATGCATTATCTTTAAATGGAACACACAGATCATGGCCGCACGGCTGTACTCCTTGCTGGCATATAGCTGGTCGATAAAACGCTCCAGTTCGCCCAGTTCAAACGCCCAGCCACAGAGCTGCAAAGCATGATCACGCTGTTCGCTCTTGTAGCACACGAGCTTATTGGAATTATTGATGCCATCTGGCCACTGCAGCAGCTGAGATTCGATGCGAGAGCTGGCCATCAAGGCCTCCGACGTGTGACCCAAATTGATGCCCAAAGCGGACTTCAAACCGGACAACTGATCATCGCAATAGACATTGTTCAGCGTGGACCAAACGTTCCTCAGATATGGCGTCAGATGGAGCTCGGCAAATCTCTTGTTATCCGGCTTGATTCCATAATCGTCGAGGGCACGCTGCCGAGTCTCGTCCACCAGATCCAGTTCAAAGAGTTCCGGCACCAGAAAGTCCACATTCAATGCGGAATGCGACCCGGGACCATTGTAATCCAGGGAACTGCCACTGTTCAGGCTACAGCTGCTCGTCGGCTGCTGTGTGGGTGTGGCCGTGGCCGTGCTGGATGTGGGCGAAGCGGGAGCATAGAGAGGCCTCTGCATGAGCAGCGGCAGCTTCCTCCGATTACTATGCGCTGTATGTAGTGTGGCAGGCAGTCGAAAATCAAGGATGTTCACAGCATCCGCCAGCAGCAGGGCCCGCTCAAAGTCACGGGAGTGCCAGGAAAGGCAATTAACGAACGCAAACTTTCCACTATGATGATATTTGGAAGGAAACGGACTGATCTGTCGCTTCACATGATAGATCTCTCTGGAGTTCTCGTTCTCCACACTGCGAATGTCATAGAGCGTGATGTAGGACGAGTCACGCTGCAGGGACGACAGCAGGCTGTTCCTGGTGGGACACCAGGCAATCTGTAGATGATTCCTGGAGGATTGTATTTGACGTAGTGGCTGCTTAATGGAGCGCACATCCCACAGCATAATGATGGAGTCTACATAGCTGCAGAGATCATTGCCATTGGGGGCCACCGAAAGCCCTTGGACAGTCTTTGTGGGGATGCTCTGGCAGGAGGCATTGTTCTCTAAGGGATTAGGGATTACATTAGTGTGGGTTTATGGCGGAAACCTCTACCACTTACGTCTCAGATCGAACAGCTTGATAATCTTCTGGCTCATGCCTGCTATGAGCATTCGATGATTGCGATCCCAGCAAAGAGAATTGGCGGACTCGGCCTGGCCAAAAAAGTTTGCCGTCTCCTTGGGCACACCCCGTTCAGTGTCCCAAATCGTTATGCACGAGTCGGAACGATGGCGATCGTGGCCTACGGCCAGTATATTGGCATCCATCTCGCTCCAGGCTAAGCAAGTGCACATCCGCTGCTGTCGCGGCGCTACAGAGGAATTCAAGAGTTAAATGGAACCATAGCGGTGGATAATCTCTACCCACTGTACTCCCAGCTGCTGTCGTAGGTGTCCCGAAAGTTACATATCCCAATCTTGCCATCCGCCAAGCCCACGGCTATGATGGGCTGATGGCTGTGGTAGGACGCGGCCACACATCGGGCATACTGGTACCGCGACTCGTTGGCCAGATAGTTAACCGATATATAAGGCAGGCGACCTGGTGGGAGGATGGGAAGCGAAAAGTGTCTCAAAAATACCCATATGCTAGATCGCACTCACTTTTCTGTGGGGCATCATCCTTGCTGCGCAACTCGTACAAATTGATTTCCTGGCCCCACGAGACGAACTTGTCGTGAAAGTTGGGAAACCAACTGAGGCCGTGTATGTTGCCACTCATCATAAGCTGTTTTCCATTCGGTTTAATGTCTGTGGTGCAGTTTCCTTCCCAGATTTTCCCAGGCGACACCTAATTGCGTCGTGTTATCAGTCGCAAAAAAAAAGTGAGATAAACACACACACACACACACACGGACACAAGGCCGGTTAATCAGCTGTTTGTACCGCTGTCATTTGGCCTTGTTCAACACTAAGCCATAACTTCGTAAGAAATATTTTTTGTTTTTATCCCGTGACGAATTTTGTTAACATTTAACTTTTTACACGTGTCTTTATTCATTTCAATTATATCACTGTAATGTTGCCGAAAACACCCAAGCCTGCACTTTGGAGATTCATCAAGGGAAGCGCCAAGACTCTATTTGTAGTGGAGGCGGTTTGTTTTGCTGCCAGCTACGGCGTGTATTACCGCATGAACACGAATCGAGGCAAGTCCAGTACAACCTTTATATAAGTTTCCGAATTAAAAATAATTCCCATTTTGCAGAATTCCGCCAGCATATCCACGAGAACTATCCCTTTGTGCTTGATTACTATTACAAAATCGGCGAGATCGTAGGCGACAACAAGGCCCGTCAGTCGGACGCCAGCTACTGGAGCACCTTGAAGAAAAGCGACTAAACACCCACAATTCCCCATGTTTGGCAACCCGTATTTAAAGTCAATCCTGTGGCTGGTGTCTTTCGGGGGCATTGGCTATGGCCTGATGCTGCTGACCGAACCAAATGCCGAGAAAATTGAGCGCATAAAAGCCTCTGCCCGTGGTCATCCAAACCAAACCGACGATGAGAAGAAGAAGGCATTGTTTATGAAGCGTTTGCAGGAGGCGGCCAACACCAGTGCACCAATATACAGGACACCAACAGGGGACAAAAGAGACTAGTTAGGAACTTTTTTCGTTTAAATATATGTAAATTGTTAAACAAATTCGAAAAATATTAATTTTGAGCATTTAATTCATTTGGGCTTTGTTCACACTGGTAGGTGGGACAGTGTTGCAAAAAGCGCATTTGGCTCAAAGAAGAAATCGGATGCTCTTTGCTCTGCATTTGCATTTATTGTAGTTTATTATATTAGATCGCAGCTTCCACATGGCCCCGGAATATGTGCCATTAGCATCCTTTGCTAATATTCCCTCTGCCGTTCAATTTGACGCCAACGAGGATTTCCAAAAGCAAACGCATCAACAGAAGCTGGACAAACCATTTTTGGGCTTCAAGAAGCGTTCCTACGTGACGACTAGTGTCAAGATGGATACAATGCGTGAACGGGAGTTACTCAAGACGCTGTTGGTGGATAAGTCCAGCAGCTTTTCGAACAGCACGATACCCGATTGCATCTGCTACCGCGACCTAGCCTCGCTGACCGACGAGGATCTGCAATTATTTGGTTTCAAACCGGAGCAGCACCGCGCTGAGATGCTGCAAATATTTGCCGAAATGGGCAACCAGGATCCCAGCTATGATTACCTTTGCAATTCGGAAATGGCCAAAGAATACAACTCTCAGATCATAGGCAAAGCCACAGAACATACCATGGCGCTGTGTTCCTCCTTTGAGAACGCCAATTCCAGGATGAAAATGATGCCCGTGGAAGATCTTGTTGTCGGGGATAAGCGCTATGCCAGTCGCTTTGCACTGGAGACATTGGAACAGATGTCCAAGGATCTAAAGAAGATTGAGAAAACTGTCAATGAGTTGCAGAAGATAGATGATAACCAGGCCAATGGAGGCACCAAGAAGGTTGGAAAACATACATAGTTTGGATTTTTTAGTGGTTTTTTATATGTATATTTGTCGCTTTCAGAAAAAGTTAAAATTCGTCACTTGCGCTTACTATGCAGCCATGGCTTTGGGCTTGTCCTGTGCCTGGTTTTGGTGGTGGTCTAAGCATAATGGATCTGCACGACTCGACAGGATCTCGCTATCGACTTGAATATAATCTATGCACTCCATTCCCTTTGGAAACAGATTGCTTTCCAGCTTCTCATAGATTTCGATATTTTTAAGTGGAAAACGTGAGCATATAAAAAGTGTATTAACAAATTGTCTACAGACATGACAAGAATAGCCATATAGCACCATACATATAATCTCTGCAGCATTCCCCTTGGAAAAATATGACTTTCCAAAACTTCTCATATAATTAAAAAGAAAACTTTGAATATTCTGTAAAAACGTGCATGAATCTTTATAGTTGATTATTTTAAGCTTAGTTCCTCGGCCAGCAGTAGAAATCCCAATTTAACGTAGGCATCGACATGCTCCGGATACTCCCAGAGCGATGTATGTGCTATCAGATCGCTTCTCCGCGTGCAATGGGCAATATTCTCTACAAACATACATAGAATACATATAATCTCCTAGAATATACCCTAACCTAAACCTCTCACCTGAAACCTGTATCTTGACCAGCGCCTCCTCTTCGTATCGCTCCGCGAGTTCTCGGGTAAAGGCCACAAACTGCGACAGCCGCCAGGAGCGATAGAATATGGTGTCTGCCGCCGCGCCAGGTAGTTTTGTTAGCGCACGCAGCTGCCTCAGCGTTTCGCGTGTGTTGTTGGCAATGTCCCCGAAGATCGAAGCAATGATGGCCAACTTGTTGCACGGGAGGATCAGGTCGTCTGGATAGGCGGTGCTGATGCTGTCATCATCCTCGCTTTTCTCCAAGCACTTGGTCTTCTTGGCCTCAATGGTATAGCAGATGGCAGTGCCCCGCTGCTGGGCTAGCTGCCATTTTGCATAGTTATCCTGAAGTTGTTTCACCAAAGTTTCCAGCCGCGTTTTGCAGGTGGCCAAGGTGGCATCGTGACTTGTGGGAGATTGCAGGCGCGGGCTGTCCAGATCTGTAATTATACCAAAGGTAAAACTTACACAGACTGACGACTAAGCTAACTCACATCGCACTGGTGTTAAAGATGTAGTTCTTATATCTGTTTCGCTTTGTTTCTGCGGCGTTTTCTTTGTTTTGCTCATTTTGTAAACAATTTAGAGATGGATTTCGATAGCGATATCGATATACTTCTGCAGTGCAGCACTGTGAAAAGCATACTTTTTGAGCACTTCCCAACACATTGACACCACAAAAGTGCCGGTAATTCTCAGTCAAAGCCATTTTGCTTGCAAATTTTGTTCGAACGTATAAAAAGTAAAAATAAAGAAAAATGTCGACCTGGACGCCACTTGAATCCAACCCCGAGGTAATTACTATAGTTATTAAGTGCCTGATTATTCAAATTTCTGCAACTGGGATATTGGCTGATTGCCGGCATTGCAAAAAGTGCTTTGCTCCTTTGAAATTGGCAATTATAAGACGCCATTGATATTGTACCCATTCCTAGGTGCTGACCAAGTACATACACAAGCTAGGCGTGTCGCCTGCCTGGTCGGTGAATGACGTCATTGGTCTGGACGAAGATATGCTCGAGTTTATTCCCCGTCCGGTGAAGGCTTTCATATTGCTCTTTCCATGCAGCGAGGCTGTAAGCGTTCCCTCTGTCCACAAACAGATCCCGTTCTACACACATTTTTTTGCAGTATGAGAAACATCGTGCTGAGGAGCATGAGCGCATCAAGGATGTGAAGGAGCAGCATCCCGACGATCTGTTCTACATGCGCCAATTCACTCACAATGCTTGCGGCACTGTGGCCCTCATCCATAGCGTGGCCAATAACAAGGAGTATGTTCTTTTTGTCAGAATCGAATCCAAGAAATCCATCACCTTAACCTATGTCTTTCTCCTTTCAGGGTGGATGTAACTGGGGGAGTTCTGAAGAAGTTCCTGGAGAAAACCGCCGCTTTGTCGCCAGAGGAGCGTGGCTCTGCTTTGGAGCAAGATACCGAGTTTACAGCCGACCATCAGGCTTTGGCTCAAGAGGGCCAGACCAATGCCGACGAGCATGAGAGTGTGATCCATCATTTTATTGCTTTGGTGAACAAAGATGGCACCCTCTACGAGCTCGATGGACGCAAATCGTTTCCCATCAAGCATGGCAAGACCACAGAGGAGACCTTTGTGAGCGATGCGGCCAAGGTGTGCAAAGAGTTTATGGCCCGTGATCCCACCGAAGTACGTTTCACAGTCTTGGCCTTGACTGCTGCGCAGGATTAGGCTGCTTCCAAAAGAGCATACGAGAATACAATGATCTCTGATCTGCCAGATACACCTACATACATACATATACCACGTACATTATTATATATATTTGTAAACTGTCTTTAAGGCGCATGAGGGAACGCCATTAAGCCAGTTGAAACATACAATTATGCATATATTTATTTAGCTTTGAGCCAAAAGCCGCCACACCCAAAAGCCACACTGTATGGGGAGCATTTCAAATTTGTAATTAAAGAGTAAACTCTTAAGCTTGAAGCTAATCACAAAAGATCCCATCCCGCTGTATATATTTGTTTAAATTTCCCCCCATTCAGGCGCCACCACTGACTCCCAAAACAGCTGATAACGCTGTGACCTCCAGTGCGCATGCCTTGACAATTGGACATGCTCCACGTCGTCGCTTGACAGTTCCATCCACCCCCTCTCTCTCTCTCTCTCCAATAATTAAACCAGGTTTTTCTTCCAGCTGTGAAAACGGTCTCCCACGAAGTGGAATTGGAGCAATTAAAAGGATTTTTGTTTGCCTAGAAAACTTCATTTTTTCAAGCAGCATAGAATACCCTCTGAGAGTGCCGCCATCGAGAATACTATATGCCCTGTAATAGCCGCTGTGGGAAGGGTAAGGTAAGGGAAGAACGAGGCGGAGCAAGGTCGTGGTAGCATGTTGCTGCTCAAGGAACTGATGCGTCTGGCCACGCAGCATCGCACCTTCTACTGCTATGTGCTGCTCAGCATTTGGATCTTCCTCCTCATAGCGGGTAAGATGGAGCAGCTGCATTTTTCCTAATCTTTTATATCTCTAATCCAAGGCATCCTCCTCCTCCTCTACAGGCATGTATCGCTATATGGGCAATGTGGAGACGAGTTCTGGTGCTGGAGCTGGCTTTGGCCCCAGCAGCTCAGGCACAATCAGTTCCTTGGGTGACACCTCGTCCTCCTCGTATGCTCAGCGTTTTGCCAAGTATCGAGTGCGTTGTGCTCCGCTTGGACAGCTGCAGCGTTTGGACGATGGCGGCATCTTGGAGGGTTGGAAGCTGCAAGGCGTGCTCCTCGTCATTCGTCACGGGGATCGTGGACCCATGTCGCATGTCCGCACAACAGGCATCAATTGTGGCGTGGGTGGGGGAACGGACAACCTGGTCAACAGGTGGGTTATGGTGCACGGTACACCTCCCATCCCATTTACGTAATATCTTACCTCTTACTCGCCCCCAGATATCGCAGTTTCCTTCACAATTCGAGCAGCTCTGCTTCGGGTTCGAATCACATGTACTGGAACAAGGTGGGACCCTTTCATGGCTTTCCTCTGCTTCCAGCCACAGAGCGTGGCTGTCCATTGGGGCAACTTACCTACAAGTAAGTGCTGTCACGCACTTCATATGGTTTATATCCGTTCTCTTCTATTCTCCTCAGGGGCATCTCTCAATTGTTGCATGTGGGTGACATTATGCATCAGGTGTATGCCCATCCATTGAGTCTGCTCCTCAAGCCGACACTCAATCGCGGGGCTATGGAAACGACACCGCACACGCTGCTCAATTCGGATGAGGTTGTGGTCTACACCACGCGCTATCGTCGAACCTTTCAGTCTGCCCTGGCCATGCTGTTCACCCTGTTGCCAGCGGACAAGTGGCTGGGCCTGAACGTGCGAGAATCCCACAGCATGGCCTTCTGCTTCGGGGAATGCACCTGTGCCCAGTCGGCACTGCTCCGGAAACGACTGCAGGCCATGGGCGACACGCAGCTGCTGAAAAGATTGGATGTTATGGAGGCAATGCAGTGGATTGGCGGCACCTTGCTGCAGCATACGCCGAATGGAATCACCAATCCCTTTGAAGTTGTGGACGCTATGCTGACGGTTCTGTGCCACGAGGCGCCACTGCCTTGTCGCCACAAGAAACGCAGCCCGACGGCGAGGCCGGCCAGGAAGAACCCCAACCAGGAGCTGGTGGATGTGATCAACATTGATCAGGATGAGGCGGCGCCCAATCTGCAGCAGGAGGTCAACAATGGCAACATGGAACCAGAGTCCAACGAGGGAGACAATGGCAATCCCTCCTTGCCACAGGAGGAGGATCATCAAGAAGGTTGCGTGGAGGCGACCCATGTGGACACCCTGATGTCCTTTGCCGATGAACTGTCCAAGCGTTCCGCCGATCATGCGTACTACAAGCTGTCCGGGCTGCTCCGATCCTACGGAATGATTCGGCACATCGTCAGCTACATGCTCAAGATGATCTCGGGAGATCGCACCAAGTTCGTCCTATACTCCGGCCACGACTGCACCATGCAGTATCTTACAGCGGCGCTGGGAATCGCCATTAGCGAGGGACAGACAATTGCCTATGCCTCGCGGCTAGCCTTCGAGGTGTACCGCAGCGAGGCGCACACAGACTACTATTTCCGGGTCGTCTACAATGGACGGGATGTCACACAGCAGATCGACTTCTGCGAGGGAGGCAAGAGTCTGCGTGTCACCCGAGACTCGAGGGGCAACAAGGCGGACCTGTGTCCCATCGAGAATATTATTCGCTTCCTGCACGAGGACTACTTTGCACCGCTGAATGCCACCAATTTTAAGGAGGCCTGTGGCACCACCAATCCACCAAAGGCAAACGAGTTCTAGGCCGGCCCCACCCCGCCCATCGAGGAGTCTCCCACGCACTTTTGAAACTGTGATACGTAGTTAACATGCCCCCGAAATAAGCCCGATTCCAGCAGCAGCGACCATTCCAGCTATCCATACATATAGTACATATACGAAACGACCGCATCTTGCGATGTTATTTATCTCAAGTTAGACGAATTTTTAGTTAATGAAAGATAATTGTTGATCCTGGAGTCGAAATCGATACATATCAAATCGTGAATTCGAGCTAAACTTCTTCTTAGCAAAACCGATGCATATCAGTGTGGGAACGTTTTCCTAGACCTAAGTCCAAAACGTAAGCATATCAAGCGAAAGTTATAAATTAATTATACAACAAAAGTGGAGGGAGAAAGCCTTCTAGATTTTAGTATGCCTTTAAATAAATGTTCCCGATTTTAAAGAATATTAACGAATATGTTGATTCCTGGAGCCATTCTTTGATGTAATAATTATGGATATTGCGCCATGGATGCCACTGGACGGAGAAGAATTCATTCCGCCAGGGGTAATGCATCACAGGCGTTCGCCATGAACCTTAAGACATGATTCATGATCACTGAATCACGTTTTCCTGGTTATTTATTTGGTCATTCCGTACCAAGAATTGTACTCTTTAATATCTGTATATATCTGTATATATCTGTACATATCTGTAGTAACCACGAAGAAGAGTTAAAGGAAGCTGATCTGAACCACGTGAAAAAATCCTTCTGACCAACCAATTCCAATATACCCCATAAGTCGCGATTTTTATTTGAGCAGAATCCGTTCCTTGGAAGAAGTTATCTCTTTGGCAACCGAAAGTCGAATGAATAGGATGGCCAAAAATGCATTCGGAGTTTTGTGCATTGCAACGCTGCTCTTGCTCTCTCATTCTGGCTGTCTTTCTCACATACACAGAAAGCGCATCAGAAAGAGGCAAGACAAGACGAGAATGATAAAGCAAAACGGGAGCAAAGACCCCGCCAAAGGCAAAGGCATACAACAACAACAACAAAAAAAGAGACAACAGGGCAGTGGAGCCACAGATAATACTTGTACAGTGTTGGGGAGAGGGCGGATTGAAAGGGGAGCAACCGCGCAAGTATAGCTCACACACGCGCACACACACACAGTACACAGTACACAGCACAGACACACGCACACAGCGAGTACACACAAAGTAAGAGAGTGGTTGGGTGAACGAGAGGGTGGGGGGAATATCGCGCAATGAGCGTGTACCGTACTGAGAGCCCCCCACAAAGTCCGACGACAACGAACAGCGTAATGTAAAATCGTTGCTCTACAGAAAACTGAGAGCCTGATGACATTCAGTACATTTTGTTACTTTTGTGCACGCAGCCGGCGGACCCCAGAGTGTTCCGAGTTGGCCGCCAGCTGGAGAGGAGCCGTACACCAGGAGGAGAACCTACGGCTCCATTGCGGGGAATGGAGCCCGCGACCGCCGATGGAGAGGGATTACATGTAATGAAAACGAACACTGCCAATGCCAGCCTCCTTTCAAGTCCCTTACCATAATCCTGTGCCCCATCTCCGAGAGAATCCTACTTCAATCTCCATCCAGGGTGGAAGAGCTGTAAAAACCACGTCCACGTCCACGCCATTTTTGTCGTAACGGGTCCCCTAGGGGCCATCCGCACTCGCATGGTGCATGGTTGTGTTACATTGGGAAAAGGAGCCCAGATTTCGTAGCGAAGCGATGCACTTTTTGCAAAAAATAAACACAGCAAATGCAAAAATGTACGCGTCTGCGAGTGTGTGTGTGAGAGCGAGCGAGAATGGGGCGGAGCAGGTGCGCGCCTTGTTTCGCGTGGAGGAGATTTGCAGTCAAAGGCCTTCCCACCCAGTGGACCAAAACTTCGTAAAAGATATCGCAAACGAGAGCTAAGCGGAACTCAGCCGTGTAAAACTACCGAATTGAGGTCCGAAAACGATAAGAAAATGAATCACTAGTCGCTCAGTTTGTGGCAGTGAAAGTTTCATTTTCGGTAGCTCAAAAACGGATCTTTTGCGAGCCTTTTATGATATCTTTTGCGGATCTTTTGCGAGCCTTTTATGATATCTTTTGCGGGCCTTTTGCGAGCCGTTTATGATATCTCTTGCGAGCCTTTTGCGAGCCGTTTATGATATCTCTTGCGGGCCTTTTGCGAGCCGTTTATGATATCTCTTGCGGGCCTTTTGCGAGCCGTTTATGATATCTCTTGCGGGCCTTTTGCGAGCCGTTTATGATATCTCTTGCGGGCCTTTTGCGAGCCGTTTATGATATCTCTTGCGGGCCTTTTGCGAGCCGTTTATGATATCTTTTGCGAGCCGAAAGTAATATGAAAAGGGACGCACAATTTTTTTTTGTTTTTTATAATTTTTAATTTTATTTTAATTAATTTTAATTTTTAATTTTGGTTGTACATAAATAGATTAAAAAATTATATTAGTGAATTAAATTTAATTTGTTTTTTCTCCTTCGACACTCTGTCCTTGGCGTACTGGAAAAATGTTTGCGTGATTCGGTCGAAATCGGCGTCTTCTAACGAAAATCTTTCCTTAAATCTCGCTGTAAACAAATAATCATGTTTATTATATTACAATATATATATAAATTTGAAAATAATACTTACTACGGATGGCTAGAGTAACCCGCAAGTAACACCAAAAATGGTGCGCAAAGTCAGTTCCAGCGAAAATTGTTATACATATTCGTTGACGCAGGTCGCCTGATGCACAAGAAGATGGCTAGAAAAAAATATATACACAGAATGTGTAGATTGTTGTCTTTTTGGGGTCTTATACTGCTCCCAAACTCAAATTTTGTGCACTATACTATACTATTAAATAAATAATAATTTACTTACCGATTTTTCCTTTTTTTCACTATTTTTATGATTTAACTAAACGTAAACGGGGACGTCCTTCTGCTGCGGTTTTTAATCACAAAATAACACAAAACGAAAAAACGGCGGCGTTGTGCCGGGCCGCAGTTTGACATGTTCGTTCATGTTCTATTACGTGATCCGGCGTTTCTTGCGTATTGTGCCTGTTTTTAAGTCCGTTTGTGATAGTTTTGCGAGACTTTGGTCGTCGCACGGTTTTCGTCCGGTAAATGCTCTTTTCTGAGTCCGTCTGCGAGCATTTTGTGAGACTTCACCCGTACCTAGCTATTTTTTCCGTTATGTTTCACTTTTCTGTCCATTTTTCACCCGTTTTTAAGTCCGTTTGTGATAGTTTTGCGAGACTTTGTCGTCACTCGGTTTTTGTCCGGTAAATGCTCTTTTCTAAGTCCGTCTGCGAGCATTTTGCGAGACTTCACTCATCGCTCCCGGATTTTTATCATTTCTAAGTCCGTTTCCGGACATTTTATGATAGTTCCGTTTTACTATCGCTTTTTGGTCCACTGGGCATACACAAATCTCGATACAAGTTAATACATGTCCAAGTGCCAGGGCTGTATTAGTGTGTGAGAGACGAGCAAACGTCATTGCTCTCCGTTTGCTGTACGCCGTTGTGTCTGCCTTCGTCTCTTGGGGTGTTTTGGTGTGTGGGGGCTGCTGGGAGCTGATGCTGCTGCTGCTGCGCTGCGACTGAGATGCACTTGCATTGCCTCTTTTGCTCTCTGCTTGCCTTCCGATTTTTTTCGAATCTCTCTCTGGCTCCCTCTCTCACTCAGCTGCAGTAACACATGCAAGCAGTGTGTGGTGTGCGTCTGTGAAGGTGAATGCACTTGCACAGTGGGCTCACATCGGTTGATAGTCGGATGAAAATTGGTGGAGTAGAGGTTTACCAATGTTTTTCGATACATTTCGAAGCGTACATTTTCTCTATAAGTTATATATTGGGAATTGATTTTTGATTAATCGAATTAACTGCTAATATTGTACTACATATTCATCTAAATTGTACCACTATTTTGTTACACTTTCCAAATTATTTTATACCACTGTACAGACTAAAACATCGATTGCATTGCTCTTTTGCTTTTGCTTTCGTACCGTTTATGTCTGGCTCGCTTGCTCTCATTGAAAAACGTTCAAAGCAGGAGAACACACACACAGAAAGAGAGACAGCAGTCGGAGTCACACACATACACGCAAACGTAGAACTGGGGCAATCGACTGCATTTGGAGGGGAAGTAGGAAAGAGTAACCGATGTGGAGGTGACGTGACATGACTCTTTCCTCCCGCAGTCAGTCTCTATCACTCTTTCTCGCTCTCGCCCTGGCCGTGTGTGCATTTTTATTGTTACACAAGTCGTCGTCGGATCCGGGAATTTGCTTCTGCATCGGTGCTGCGTCTCTGTTACAAAATATTGACGAAGAAAAATCATACAACGTTTTTTTCAAACTTTTTTTTCAACCATTTTTCATTGGTACGCGTGCAACGGAGGTCGGGGTAGAAGTACCCCCAAAACAGGGTCCGCTAGGAGGATTGCTACCATTTGGAGGGAGGGGAGTCTTCTATGGGCCGCTAGACACACATTCGTGTGGTTTTCATTTTGGGGAAAAACTGAGGCCAGGATTTTTCCTAGCCATAGCAAACGGCGGGGCAATAGATGCAACCAGTTGGAGTTGCATGTGCCCCCAATAGGTGCATTCGTTGCATCGGATTGGTCTGGCGCTGGTGCCGCTGCTGCTGCTGCTGCTTCGGTGGTTCGTTCATGGATCGTTGGTCTATGTCGTCTGCGCTCTGTCTAACAGAAAACTCAAAGAGTTTTTCCAAGCAGACGACGCGTCGGACTCTAGGCTCGACTAGGCCTCGGTCTGGGACTGCGCTTCGGCAGATGCAGGGCGACAGCGGGTGGCGGGTTTCGGTGCATCGTGCATCGGGAGATGCACTTTTCAAACAGTTTTCCATCAGCCGCTCTCTGGCTGCACTGGGCTGGAGGGGGCGGCAATAGGAGCCGGCTAGAGACTCACTCTCACACCCATAGACCAAAGAGAGCTATAGAGCTATAGAGAGGCAGCGAGCGAGAGAGAGAGAGGGCTAGTTCTGTAGAGGGAGATAGAGCTAGCTGCAGCTACGTGCATTTTACGAGTAGAAGAAGAAATGGCACACCACACTGTACGTAGACGCGATGACGTTGTCGTAATTGCAACATACTGCCGATAAGGTGCAAGGGGCGGCGGGCAATGTCGATCTCCTCTATAAGTTGACTTGGCAACAGGTAGGAAGTTGAAGGTAAAAGAACATTTCTGTGGTATTACTACTGACAGATTGTCTATTTATAGAGTGCATACTATAGTACAGGTAGATAACAGCAGAACATATTCCATATGATCCATAGTTCCAGCTGAAAAGGGGGATATTCTAATACATACAGGAAATCTTTTAAAAATCTTTCAGGGAACATATAGTGTCATAATACTTCAAGAATTGGACCTACATATACCTCAGTTATAATTAAAAATGGAGCTAACTGAAG